GTCTGGATAACTTTCCTGAAATTCACTACAGTTCCATATAGTTCGCAGAATTTCCTAGAAAGTCGTTGAAGCTTCCTGAAAGTTTCCTTAGACAAAATATGGGAACTGCAACGAAGCTCTAGCAATTCTGTAGTAATTCAAGGTGAGGGCTACCTAAACTCACTGGGCAAGAGTACACAGTTCGAAAAAATAGTGTAAATTTCTGTTCAATACGATGCACATAAATTGAGCGTCACATATCATATAAGTTTACATTATAAGTCGTGTAATGTTCTGAGACATTTCATGAAATGATGCAATTATTGTATACAAATGCCCATCTTTGTACACAACATTGCTTACAAGTTTCTCGTTTGCGTGAAATGAGATACAATCTTACGTGAATGTATCTTTCCATCATAATTAAAATTCAGAATTTTTTGTTGTGTAGCTAACCTCGGATACCTACTTTATTTTATTTATTTTTTAATCCTTGTCGGGTATTTTCATCACTGCGACTATTTTTCTGATCTCCTTTATTGAACTCCGGTAAAAATCTTTCAACGATCGTCGCTACTAAAATGGCTTGATTTTGATTTGATGATTTTTTTTACAGATTCGCTTTTTGGAAGCACAAGATGCGACTCTCTATTTTCTTCATGAGTTTTTTAAATTGTTCCAGATTTTCATAAAAAATCACTCGAAACAGAACAAAAACCAATGCCTACTATGATTACATAGCTGCCCTGCTCGTTTCCTTTCTTAAAAAATATTGTGCTAGGTACCAACAAATCAGTGCCAACATTTCAAAGGGGCGTAATTGCTTTTGTAAACAATGACTTTAGCCGTAAATTTCTCGCAAATTAAATCTTACCTCTCCAAAATTACAATGCTAACTGGTAGAGGAAACATTCCTCTACCTGCTGGTGTCATTATTTTTCTAACGGCTAAAACCGTTGTTTACAAATGCAATTACGCCCTTTTGAAATGTTGGCACTGAAATATTAATTGATTTTGCGCAAAGTCGTCATAATCAATATGGATCTTACTTGGGAGGCAAAGAGAAATACTTTAATGCCATTTGGATCAATGCAATCAACTTTTGAACCTTGTTTAACTGCATTTGCTAAATTTTTAATAGTTTTGTATGATCAACAGTCCATATATGCCTTCATAATCGGCTTTGTAAACTTCAAAACACTTTTTCTCAAAAAATCCAAGATGAAATATTTCAAATCCATCACAGATTTGATTGTTAGGATCAATACTAACATCCTGTGAAGAAAAATGTGAGGTATATAAATGTTGCAAAAAAGTGCCTTCAGGCATAGCGTGTGCCGTGCGTTGGCAGGGTCCAATATGGGCTAACTTCATGTTTATAAAGTACTATCAGTTAAAACTGTATCTTTGAGCTTTATCTATGGGGCATTCCGCGCCAAGTGACCGAGAAAAAAAAAATACAAAAGTGAAATTGACGTCTTCCGATTTGGACCAAATTTGGAGGAGATCTTTATTTTGGTCTAACTTTTATGAATCAAAATATGCTATTTTTTAATTTCGGTTGAACTCATATATTGATATTATTTTGATAGGGGAAATGGATGTAATGTCGGCCTAAATACCCCTACATAAATTCAGACATCGACTAAATTTTCAATAGCGACCAAAAATATCCATAAGTACCATCCCAATGACGCGTTCATCTAGATAAAATTGATAAATAGCCCAATCTTAGATCCATAGGCCAACATTAGAGCCATTTCCCCTATTTCTTAAAAATATAATTAAAACAAAACATTAATCACTGCAAATTAAATTTTTCTCTTACGAGTCAATCAGGATGCTCGCTGTTTTTTTTATGAACATCGCAAAGACAATCTGCGAATTGAATTTACAAATCAACATAACTGATAGATATCGATAGAACTGATTGAAATATAGGTTTGTTTTTATTTTGAATATATGAAAATTTATTGATAACTTTTTTTGAGTTTGAATATTGATATCAACCAACAGATTACTAAATTAAATTTGATAACATGATATCAAAATAATAACTTATTCAGTTTTTTTTTTTTTATATTTTGTTGTCCTACCATAGTTGTAATAACATATTGATTACTTATTTTGTTTATTATTAACGATATTACTAATATCAAAACTTATAAAACCTAGATTTGTTATTAGCGGATTTGTTATCACCAGAGAGAGATAGAGAGAGGAGAGAGAGATGGGGGAGAGAGAGAGAGAGACGGATTAGTAATTTACAATTAATTCCACTACCTTATTTGCTTATCCTTGACAGATACGCGTATTTCGTCTACAATGTATAGACTTCAAGTAATATTGACAGGTTTTACACCATATTATATATAGACACGATTGAAGTGCATCCACTTTGACGTGATATCAAAATTATTTTTTTACTGTGCAACTTCGTCGGGTTCAATCTTTGCGCCACAGACTGTCAGATTCTGCTTTAGTCTTTTTCGCCCACGAAACATCGCTGCCCAGAGAAACAAACCACCAGAATCTAAATCAGTGGCGAGGGGGACGACTCTATCTACGATGCAGAAAAGATTGTGTTTTGCTGTGGCTAGCTGCGCGCACGCTGAGTAGATAGAAAGAAGATTGATGACGATTCTGAAGATTTCCTGCAAAAAGATGATGCTCGATGCAAGTAGATGCGACAAATGAAAGAAGATTTTTCGAAGATTAATTCGCTAGTGTGAGATTTGTTGAGCATCGTAACTTGAGATTTAGATGTGTCGCCCCTCTCGATCAGTGGTATACACAGAACGAATATTTCTCCAATATTCGAGCTATAATTTTGAAGGAAATTTAATCGGATCAATGTATAAACATTACTCAATTTAAAAAGTATTAAATTTTAATCTTTCTTTGTATCTTCTTTTGTTAAGTAATATTTTTGAGTGTAGGTGAGAGTGGATGGTGAGTAAAGTTGGCAATTGTATTGTCTTTGAACCGTAGCAATTAACCGGTACCAACTTTTATTTATTTATTTTGTTGCTTAATTACTTACTCTAACACATACATCAATGCGGGACTTCACTTATCTCTACTGATAGCAAACTAAGCTATATTTTGGTAGGCTTGATGAATGATAATAACCCTAAAATAAGCAATCTCCTGTACGATTTTTGAGAAGTCGTCCGAAAGACAAAACATTAATTCAGCAGTCAAAAACCGAACCAGCTTAGGCCTGAAAGTCTCTACAATAAAGCAAAACAAGAAGAAAAACTAAACAGTCACTTTGATAAGTTGTAAACAATCCCAATCATTGACATGTCACGTAACATGACATGACAAGACAGCAACCGACCAATCAATCCCAGTAGGTGTTCAATGAATCACCAGAGTTAGTGTTTGTTCCTCAGGGCAGAGAATCGCTTTTTAATTTATTTTTGCAAATCCCGCCAGATAATAATGAATGAGTGAAGTTCAGGGTATCTTCGAGAACGTTTCTCAACGTTCACCCACCGTAAGACCAAGTTCGCTCTACATCACACCTTTCATGTGCTTTTCGTTCAGATGAGCTCATATCGTCGTAATGCCCCTATTGTGCGCGGCGAGTGATGTGAGGTGACTCTCTGTCTGACAATAATCACCTCATTGCGACATGACTCTTCATTGACGAGTACACTGGTGAATTCAAGTTCAACCACTGAAGAGAATTTGACAGGTGATGTGGGCCATGTTTACTAATCATAAACACTAAATGTTCAGGAACAATGAATAATGAACATTTAGTGTTCATGATTAGTTCACATTGCCCGCAGCTTGTGTCTATTTTTTCCGTGTGAATGAACTCAAATTCATCGGTGTACTCGTCTATAGACGAGTGCACGGGTGAACTTTTGTTCATCTACTTAAAGAGCCTGAATTTATAAAGAGACGACATGTCAAAATTGGAACAATCGATTGTCTGTCAAAGTCATAAGAAAAGTCATTCCAATCGAGCAGAAGACCTGTCAAATGGATAAGATGTCGCCTCTTTATGAATTCAGGCTCTTTACATCTACTGAAAAAAAAAAAATTGACACAACAGCGGGGCCCTGTTTACTAAAAATGAACACATGAATAATGCTCGTGTAACATTTGAAAAGGGCCTATCAACTTTTGTTTGATCAACTTTTAATTTGCTGGGTCTTTTTCACGAGAACCGAAGTGCGCTCACGCAAATCAAGAGCACTATCGGGAAGGAGAGAATTTCCCCTACCCGACAGTGTTGTTAGTTTGCGTGGGAGTATTCGGTTCGCGCGAAAAAGGCTTAACAAGTTTTGTGTACAAAAGTTGATAGACCCGTTTCAAATGTTACGTGAGTATTATTCATGTGTTGTGTCACTTTTTGTCGAGTGAGTGAACTCAAATCCATCCGTGCACTCGGCTATAGTCTATAACTACGATGACTACTGAAGAAAATTTTACAACACACCACCTGTCATATTAATGAAGAGATAAACTAGCCTACGGACAAAAATCTCTAAAAAAAAACCTGTCAAATTTTGTTCATTCGATAAACTTGAATTCACCAGCGCACTCGTAAATTTGATTTGCACGGAGAATAATTTCACACGACGTGACTATCGTCACCTCACTAGTGACAGAGAGTCACCTCACCGTAGAATAGGAGGGCTGCAAGTTACCTCGTTTTACGGTATTCCTTCTTAATACGTTGTTCTTTGATGATTATTATTTCATCTTAATTATGTATTTGCTCATATTTTATTCAACAAATAATGATATCAAACATACAATTCTTTTAAACACTTACTGGGAATATAATGTCGTATATTTTAACAACTGCTTATATATTTGCTAACCCTAATGCATTCGTGCATAGACATGATTAACGAACCATTTTAACATCCAATGGCTCGGATACGTCTGTAAGTGCTTAAAACACCTCATGAGGTGAATCACGGCGCGAGTAAGAATGAGAGAACAAGGAAAATACGTAAAGCATTAATGCTGTTATACCGCGGAGAAGCACTTCCACATCACACCACTGGAAGATCCGTGGAGTTCGTCTTCATTTCTCGGTGCGACAACGACCGCTGCGGTTGCCCTGGGCTGTTCACGTCTTTCGGTGTTTCTTCCTCTGCGTGTGGTACATACACTTTTGCCAGCATAGTCGAGTTATGCTGCTGGTGCCGTTATGGTCAAGTCGGTGGAAAATGTCGCGCGAGTGATTGTTTTTCCACGAGTGATGTAATTGGCTCTGCTAATTAATAGAAAGTTTGGAAAATAGCTTGATAAAAGCTACACAGAAACGTGACAGTGAAAAAGAACTAGTGATTAAGCTACAGTGGTGTTGAAATCCAGTTTTACCCACTTTCTCAAAGCATTGAATGTAAGTGCAAGTTTGTTTTAAAGAACCAACAGAATGCCACTTTGTTAATAATGATATCATCGATATGGAATTGGCGGTGGTTATCTTGGAAGAAAACATCATTTATAGAAACAAAATACCGAACAGTGTAAGAGTGAAAAAAAAAAAATGAAAATATCCAACACAGATCTCTGAAATGAGGTTGATAACGGTTTTTTCGTCATTGATGCGAAGCTGAAAGGAGAAATGTTGAAATAGCGTGCTACAAGATGACGACACTCTCGATCGGGATTGTGTGTGAATGGCAAAAATGGAATACCTGTTGCAGAACAAAAACAAGCTTAGAATACTATCTGATCAGATGGAATTTAGCTCCTATAGCTATAGCTAAAGATGCAATGAATGCAAATGATCGCACAATTTCAATTCAACGAATTAAAAGTGGATCAGCCGGGATACCCCATAACAGTTTGCCAGCTTAGAAATGTGACGACGTGGCGTGCATGACCTTGACTTTGAAAAGTCACGCGTTTAGCACTGTTCTGAATGCGTTGGTGAAAATATGGCCGCCAACCGGTTCTTTAGCGGATCTTTTCGTACTTCTTCAACGTAACAAAAACAAATAAAATAATTATGTAAAATATCATCCTATTTTCCTCCATACAACCGGTTGATTGTGCTTTATTAGTAATGTCATATGGCGTTAGTGAACCAGTTTTGTATTTTGGAACAACTCTTTCGATTGACCTAAACCAAAATATGTAGATGGCTGGACCATTCCTACTTGCATGTTGAAATAATGTATGCATAAAAATACGTGCCTTCGCCATTCGAAGCTATTAATGATGCTGAGTTTAGTGTTGCTTTCAAACCGTTGTTAACAATTCAGGAACACAAAGAAGCACCAAACAGCGCTAGATAAATAACCTTTACGTTTTATAGCAGCCGCAACACTTGTAATGACTACGTTCCCATTTATGACTTGCAAAAGCATCATGAATGTCCTTCAATAGATACCGATAGCACGATGCGCTGTATAGATATACGAATCGATGGTAGACGCATGCAACGATAACGCACTTTTTGTTTTGTTCCGTAATGTTTCTTGTTGTTAGGAGCTATTGAAAAATTCAACGAATGTGTATTGGCAACGTCCACTACACATTGTGCTTCCAAAAGGTCTTTCTGCGAGACTTCGGCATAGTGGTTACAAAACGTTGGAAGGAAGACATGACATCTAATTCTTTGTCCTGTCATGACAGTATGTTACCTTGCTGTCTTCTTTCCTTTATGTTAACGTCGGTCTCTGTTCCGCAATCTAGTGCCAATCACCGACGAACATCGATTGCCATCCATTGACGGCAATCGAATGTGCAGGAAGGCACCTTCCACACCTGCGTAGGATATCGCACCCATTCAAAACACATGGGCCGGGACCAACGGCTTTACTTCCCTTCCGAAGGAAGACGTGACCAGAGATTTTTATGCCTCAGAAAAATCCCACCGACCTCGGCTGGGATTGAACCCAGACCCATTGGGGTGTTAGAAAGCAGTCACGCTTACCACTACACCACCGGCGCCGGCAAAAACATTCAATATTCTAACTAGTTCATTCACACATTTGAAATCGGAGTATAAGTCCTCGTATTTTTATGGTGGATACTTAGGGGGTGAAGGCGATGCTAAAAGGAGGATAACAATTACATCTGAGAATAACTCCAGGAGATCTTCAAAGAAATTCGAAAAATAATTCCAGGAGAGATTGCTAAACAAATTAAGGGGAGAAATCTAAGGAATTTATGAGAAGACATGAAAATGAATTCTTAGGAGGCTTTCAATGTGAATAGAATTCCAAGGGAAGGAGTGAGGTTAAAAAAGAAATCTGAAATGAATTTAATGAAAATTCTGAGAATCTTTCCATAGTATTTCTTACTGAGGAGAACTTCAAGGCAATTCCTAGAAAATTAAAACAAAAATTGATTCGGAGGATATTTGCGAGAAGCATTCTAATTATATTCTAATGATAGTTTTTTAGAGAATTCAGAGAAGCGTTCCAAGTGAATTTCTAAAATAATTCCATAAGAGTTCAAGCGAATTTTCATGAGAGTTCTCTGTTGAATATGTAATGGACTATTCTGAGGTCTGCAGAACAACTTGAAAGTTCCCAAAATATTCCTGAAGTTAATGAAACTGCCTTGAAGTTCTTTTGTAGTTTGAAAAACTAGCCTGATGCTCACAATACTTCTCATAGTTGTTTTTAACTTCTCTAAACTTTTTCTGACTTTCTAAAGTTTCCACAATTTTCATGAATCATGAATCATGAATCTTCTCTAAAGTTTTAACAATTCACTGAATTTCTCTAACCTTCTTTAAAACTTATGCAATTTCACTGCTCTGGAATATCTCTACTCTGAGAATATCTGTTCTGTCTTGAAGTGTTTTTGTTAGCTTTTTAGCGAGATCAATATCTTTCTTGAAATTCTCGAAACTTCTCTAAAGTGTTTGCAGTTCTCATGAAGCTTGTTGTACTATACTGAATTTAATTGAACTGTTCTAAAAATGTTTAAGCTTCCGTGAACTTCTGAACTTGTGTGAAAACCTCAAAAATTTTCTTAACATCTCCAAAGTTCTCTGAAAATTTGGGAACTTCTTGAAATTTAGTGAAACTAATGGAACTCCTCTGAAATTTCCCTTGTTTTTGGAGCTTTACTAAACTTATTTGAAATGCTCCCAAAATGTCCATATAAGTTCCTGAAGTTCTCAGATCTTCCCTTAAGTTCCATAGACTTTTATGAAGTACTCGAAATGTTTCTAAAGATCCTTGTATTTTTTTGAAGATTTCGAAGTTATTCTGAATTTTCAGAAACTTCTTTAAACTCCCACAACGAAATAATTAATATAGTATAGATTTTCACTGAATTTCTCAAGATTTGTCAATTTTCGAAACTAATTCATAGCTTCTTCACTTTGTCTTAAGGGGGGAAATACAAGTAACACGTCAAAAACTCGACGATTTTCGGAATTTTTTTGTGAGCAAATGATACAACGATCTTTTTTTTTGCGTTAAATTGCTTAAATCTTCCTCTACATTTGAGATTTTTTCATTGGTGTGTGACCTCTGTGGCTCCTTGGGGTCACATCGGAAGGAGGTTGCCTCCGGTGGGGATTGGTAATTGGCGGGCGTTCTAGAGACCTGAAAAATGGACAAAACTTACTTTTATCAATTGGACCTTATACAGAATAGAATTTTGTTCTATGTAAACCTCTAAAACCAAAAAAAAAAAAAACGATTAAAAATTTAGAAAAAAATATCTGAAAAAAAAGTTGATTTTTCACTGTTTTTTTTTTTCCACCTTAGGCAGACCTGAAAATTATTTATTGTTATTTTTTTCATGATATCAGTGGTTCATATAGAGTAAAAATCTATTTCCTTTAAGATGCGCCAGGTTTCAAGTCATTTTGATGAGAACTTTTTGAGTGATCTTTCCCGCCAATTTGGAAAACACCGTCTCGAGAAAAACGCGTTTAAAGTTTTGGGTTGTGTAAAAACATGATTTCTGGAACTTACGGTTAATCGGCGATATCGGCGGGGCCATAGATCACTCCTTCCTCGTGCTCGTAGCATTTAAAAAATAAAATAAAGTAAAATATAAAAAATCGATAAAAAAAATTTTTTTACTTGTATTTCCCCTCTTAAATCACTAATTTTCCCTGAAGTTTTCTATGCTTACTTTAATTTCTCTAAATTAAACAAATGATCCGGCAAATTTTCGGATATATAATTATAATTCCCTGAATCTTCTCAAGTTTTCAGATCAATCATAGAATTCTCGGAATATTCCATAATTCCAAGGAACTTGGAATCTTGTTTGTCGCTGCAAATTTCCTTAAGTTAATGGGATTTTCGTGATGTTATCTGATCGTCCTCGAAGTACTCGGAACTGCACTGAATATTACGAAACAATCTGAAAATATCTAAATTTCTTAGAAGTTCTCTGTATTGGTGCTTGCTAAAAGTTCTCGCATTTTTTTTTAATTAATGGAACTTCGTTGATGTTCTCTAATCAACTTTACTAAATTTTCGAAATTTTTTAGATATTGAAATTTCCATGATATAACACCCTTGAATTACTCTCACATTTTCCGGATGTTCATGTTTTTTTTTTGCGTTCCAGAAATTTCCGGTAGTACCATAGAGGTAACTCTAGCACCAGAAGGTTCAGACGTGCTCAACTTCTTGGCTCAGCTCTGGTACTCTCTTCGGTCCCAAACTAAACGATGCACTCCTCGAAACATAGGAAAATCCAAGGGGGGGCGACTCTATCTACGATGCAGGATAAATAGTGTTTTGCTGTGATTAGCTGCGCGCACGCTGAGTAGATATGATGCGCGATGCAAGTAGATGCGAGAAATGAAAGAAGATTTTTCGAAGGTTGATTCTTTAGTATGAGATTTTTTAGGTATCTAGAATTGAGATTTAGATGTGTTGCCCCCTCGGGAAAATCCACGATTTCCCCATTTTATCTGTCAAATTTTCATAGCGAATAAAAAAAAAAACATAGTGTAGTACTAGAATTTCGATTAGAATGGGGTACGTTAATCGATATGCTTGGGACCAACAGGCTAGTCAAGTAGTGAGCCAATTTAAAATCGTTAGTTTCCACCGGTAATACTATACAGAACAACTTTATCGAAGACCGTAAATCGATTCGATTTATGTGCAAAAAGTTATTATTATTTAACTTTACACCTAGTGCTTGTAGGTACGTGCGGTGCACTTAGTCTAAAGTAAAAAATTAAGAACTGTATGTACACATCTCGAATCAATTTGCAGTATGCAACAAAGTTGTTATGTACAGTATTCCCAATTTATGTCCAATGTTTGAGCAATTTTTTGATTTTTCACAACCAAATGAATTCCGTTTCCCATACAAAATTTAAAATTCTTCCGCGATTCGTCAAATTTGGCACATTCTTTTGAGGCCCCAATACGCTTCGAAAGAGCAGTGGAGAGGAGGTGGTTGTAAAATCCCCTACCATACTAAACATTCAACTAAATTAAATTTATAATTTTTCTAGTTCAAAAATTTGATGACATATACAAAACATTCAAATTTTCACCGTTCATAAATGAGAATATCTCCTCCTCTTATAGCTCTGTTCTGACACATTTTTGATATCTATTTAATTCAGATTTCAATCCAAGACCAAAATGACTGGCGAACAAAAAGGAACCGTACTAGTGACCGGTGGAGCAGGCTACATCGGTTCACACACGGTCGTGTCCCTCCTCGAAGCCGGTTACAGTGTTGTCGCCCTCGACAACTTCACAAACTCGGTCAACTCGGCTAAAAACGAGTCTATTGCATTGAAGCGTGTAGAGGATATCGCCGGTAAGAAAATCACCTTCTACCGATGCGACCTGTTGAACAAGGATGCAGTGGAGGCAATTTTCAAGCAGCATAAGATCGATTCGGTGATACATTTTGCCGCACTTAAAGCCGTTGGAGAATCGATGTCCAATCCGCTGCTGTACTACAAGAACAACATGATCGGTATGATCAATTTGTTGGAAGCGATGGATAGTCATGGTGTGTACAAGATGGTCTTTTCAAGCTCATGTACGGTCTACGGAGAACCGGATACACTTCCAATCACTGAAGAAAATCCCACGGGAAACGTAACCAACGTTTACGGCCGTACCAAGTACTTCATCGAGGAAATGCTAAAGGATGCAGTACACGCTGATCCCAAGTGGAATATCATTGCACTACGATACTTCAATCCCGTGGGAGCGCATAAATCCGGTAAAATCGGAGAAGATCCGACCAAGCAATTCACGAACCTCATGCCCTACATTAGCCAGGTTGCAATCGGAAAGAAGGATGTGCTGACAATTTTTGGGAACGATTATAACACACCCGATGGAACGGGTAAGTAAAATATTTCTCGCCGGATGAATGAAATTGCTCATTGTTTCTCTTGCATATTGTTAGGCGTAAGAGACTACGTTCACGTTATGGATCTTGCCACTGGACATGTAGCAGCGCTGCACAAACTCGATCAGGAGCATTTAGGATTGAAGGTAATTTTGTTTCGTTGAATATTGAGAAGAATTAATTCATGTTTCATATCTTCTATAGATGTACAACTTGGGTACGGGAAAAGGAATTTCCGTGATGGAGTTGATCAATACATTTGAGCGAGTTAACAAGGTCAAAATTCCGTACGTTGTTCAGGAGCGACGTGCCGGTGATATATCTGCGATGTACGCCAATGCTAAATTAGCGGAAACTGAGCTCGGTTGGAAGGCCGTCCACACCGTGGATGAAATGTGTAAGTACTCCTGAATAGCCGTTTCATGGCTGCTGAAAAACTGAAACTAATACCTTTTTTTAATCGGACAGGTGAGGACTTCTGGCGATGGCAACAAATGAATCCGAATGGTTACAAAACTGATCAAGTAAACGGACATCATTGACGATGGACAAGAGAAGGGAGTATCGAACATAGATTTAAGTACCATTTTGGACAGTATTTTTATATTTATTTTACCTCGTGTTTCGATCGATGAAATAATCTAGCATTTTGCAGTTTTAAAACTTCCGTTCCAATCGAGGTAAAGTTCGGATAAACATTTCTAGCGAAGAGTTCAAGGCACTTTGGACGCTCAGGAAGTAAATCAGAGAACAATTCTGAAATAAAACAAAATAAAACATTTAACCAGCTCTTCTTTTTATCTTGTTATATCAAATCCTTTACCTAAAAGGGGTGGCTTATTTGAATGAATTGCACAAGGAACGCTATAGATATACTTTTCCAATGCAATATTATCCTTATCCGAGTATTTGCTACTCACAGCAATGAATAACCTTTCATACGGCTGCTTTTTAGTGGATTCGTTAAAACTGCAAACCGGCTGCCCGTGTTTTGTAATTTTGGTCCAATACCACGAGCCTACGAGTTTGATATTCCATTTTGTACACAGCTGTTGCTCAATGGCACTCGTATGAGTTGGAGAGTTGGTGCACCAGATTGCAACGATCGTTTCGTCATGAATATGATTCTCCAGCGGAATGTTCTTCAAACATTCATTATCCAGCATACTGTAACCCATTTTCTTGTTGGCAGCTTTTGTGCGTCGTATATATTTGTTCCACCAAGGCGGATCAAGAACAATGAAATCAAATTTTTCGTCACATGTTAGAAGGTTACTCAGGTTTCTTACATCCGAATTGAAAAACCGACAGTTTGGTGGAATGAAATAATGCATATTAGAAACCGTAGTAGTTACAACAAACTGAGAATTATTGCCACCTTTCAACACTGCTTCTGGATCATAGTGATCATTTCGATTAAACTGATCTACGAACTCAAGGGCTGTTTTATTACTAATTTCATCCGTTTTATTTGCTTCACCAAACAAATCAAGGAACTCGGTGTGGCTTTCTTTAACCTATAGAATGAAAAAAAAACATTATCAACTTAATTATTAATTTCACGTTTTATAAATAGTTATATGGAAATAGTTTGCAGATTACACTGTGCAACAAAGTTCAATTTATTTTAGGACAGACTTTTTTTCTTCCCATATTTGATATTCTTGTGGTCCTCTGAATTGTGTAGAACAACAAAACACCAAGAATATGAAGGCTCCCGGGTTTGACGGTAGATTCAATTTAATCTTAACACGATGCGGTAAATCGGTAAAATGTGTAACGGCAAACTAGCAATATTTGAAAAATCATTGGTTTTAAATGACGACAATAGATTTGAAATTCGTCAATAAATAGCTGAGCTATGATTTTTCAAACATTGCAAGTTTGCCGTTACACATTTTACCGGAGGCATCGTGTTCGGAATGTTAAAGAGGCTCAGCATGAAAGTGTACTCACTTTTGAGCGCTATCTTCAACAGATGCTTGAAGCTGCACTATTTTCCAAGCATCTGGAAGGTAGCAAAAATCATACCAATCCGCAAGCCCGGTAAAGATCCAACATTGCCCTCAAACTAGATACCGATCAGCCTCCTTTCAGCGCTGAGCAAATTGTTTGAGAAACTTATGTTGGGTCTCTCCAAAGCAGCGCAATAAGGTTCGAAAAACTTCATGTTTCCGCAACTGAAGCAAACGCAATGATAAAAAAATTTAGGATGAATGACGGCCTCGGCAATACTTTTACCTACTATCATCAAGATATAAATACTGTCCCTCAACGCTTAATTTTAGCCAAACGAATCTTTGAAATATTGTGTATAAATGTGTGTAAAAAATTAGTGCCGAAAGACTTCATTTCAGGGGAAACATGTCAGAAGGGTATAACTCGAAACGTAAACAATGACTTTGAATGACCACAAACCCACGGAATCTGACTACACTAGCTCATAGAACAAATATTTCTCTGTCAGATGATTTAGTTAGTTTGAGTGGGTATGTAGTCATTCGTAAGAAACCGACGATCCAAGTCATTGTTTACGTTTCGAGTTAGACCCTTCTGACATGTTTCCCCTGATTTACCCCCTAACGATAATAGGTAAAGGGACTAACAAGGCCGTTATTTGCTCTTTAAGATTAAGAAAATTTGACTTAAAGCATGAACATTTAAAAAAATCTTAAACTTACAAAAAAATTAAAAGAATAACGTACTTTTCTGCTGAGTTAGGGGGCCAGTTCCCACCTCACCCTTTTCCCATCTGGCTACGTCTACACGTCGAATAAGGTCGACCCAAATTTGAGTTTAGTTTACTCATAATCTCCAAAGGTGCAGGAACTCAGCGATGAGTAAACTTGCCTGAGGTTTTTCTGTGGAAAACCTTAAAAATCTGCCGGAAAATGAAGATTAATAACGAAAATTTTACTCAGTCTAGGACCGGTATCAATATACTGAGTGAACTCAATTTTTACTTTTCTCATATTCGGGAATTTGTTCCTGGACAAACCTGGAAAAACATTATGCAAATTTACTCATTGCTGAGTTCCTGCACTTTATGTGATTTATAAGTAAGCTAAACTCATATTTGGCATTCGCCGTGTATGGTGACACTTACCTTTAGTGTGGTTTGATCGAAATCATCAGCATCAGTGCGTTTCCTTTTCCTCGATTTCAATGCACTTTTCGTATGATCTTCGTTTGGTTTGACATCATATGGCACCACCACATCAAAGAGTTCTGATCTCAGAGAGGCACTTTTTATTTCAGAATCATAGTACTGATAGGATGAATAAATCCTATCAACGAACGTTTTATGATCCAAAAGCACAATATTATCAGATAAATAACGGCATGTCATTTTATCTGTAATGTTATAATTAATAGGTTATTGCAGTTTTAATTTTCACTGAAAAAATTATTAACTCATGTTTGGATTTCCAGCGGTACAAAAAATGACAGCAATAGCAAAAACATCATGCACACCCCTGCCAGCGTGTCGACATAACAAACATTGTTTTGGTCGACAAACAGTTTTCGCTCTCCTCGTGTGAGAAATCTTACCGAATTCCCTCTCTCGCACACACACAGTGAGCTTTGTTCCATTCATGATTCTCACATCAACAACTACTTATAGTAACTGTACATGCAATGTACTCTGTCCAAACAACGGTATTTTGTCAAACACACAACCAACGTAATCAGCTGTCAAATTTCATTCATAGATTGCCAAAGGATCAGCCGTGTAGCGCTGGTTGACGCTTATTGGAACAGTGAAATTTGCAAGTAGTTTTGCGAATGGGAAAGTAATTCAATTAGAATCACTGCCATCGCTTCACGGAACGACCGAAAATAATTATTTGCAACTCAAATCTTATATAACTCCGAACGTATTCGTTATATTATTCAACTACTTAGTTCAACTAGAAAGAACAATACAATTTATAGTGAAACAATCGGGTTAAACGAGATGCGAAAAGAAGTGTCCTATTCAACGATATTGGATGGCGTGATGAATAGCCGAACGCTGCGAATAGTTCGCCGGATTGTTACGCTTCGTCGGTTCGTGATCATACGTGAGTATTCCGATATTGGATGTGATCTCTTTAGCACTTACATTAGATAGACAGGTATTAATAGTTAACGTTCCAACGTTAAGTAAAGGAGACATATTCTTGGTATTTGCTGTCATTTCAGTTTAATTTGTTTTCATAAAATAATTACATTTCGTAAGTCCCCCCAGGAATTCATATAAAACATGAAGCAGTTATACGTCTACCGACAGCTCAGGTGCCGAGCTTTCCATATAGAAGATAACAATTTAAATTTAAAAAATATCGTGGCAATACTTAGATTTTAAATTAAGTCATTTCCATCAAATAGTATAAAAATTACTGAAACAAGTCATGGTATGACACATTTTAACCAAGGCGATAGTGATAGCAGACCCACGCAATGAACATGGACAATGAACAAAACATAAATTAATCACGACACCTTGAAGAAGAAGAACCACGCTACGACACCGGACCACGAGTAAGGAACTCAGGAGATTTTGTTAATTTGTTACAATGATATAACCAACACTAGGAGGGCCACTGATTTGAAGCCCTCTCCTCTTTTAAAGAGGTGAACCAGCCTCTGGCTGAAAGGCTCCATAATAATAATACTAAAAAATCATGGTTACGTTTCTGATAGGTTCTTAAGAACATATTATGTAATTTTTCTAATAAATAATTTACCATGCAATTTTATACGATATTTGTATTTTTGAGCAACTGCAGATTTATTTGGATTAAAATATTTCCTTTCGATTAGCTTTATAAGGTTAAGCATCCATATCACGTTGGTAGAATTTAATTTAAAATAATAAGTTTATTCGGATTAATAAATATCATGCACTAATTAAAAAAACACCTAGGTTATAGGTTTGAAGCATAGCGGTGAATTAATGAAGATTGTTACTTTCTTTTTAAAAAATCAGACACTGAACATTTCACAGGCATCAGTTTCACCAATTCGCCCATATACCGTGGCATCACCGACGAACCAACGCTCATACAAGCTACCTTCAGAATCTTGCCCAAGCCGCCATATTAAAAATACGTTAAACACTACCGCCATCTACTCGTCGGTGGTGATATGCCCTATTACCGTGGGGTAAAGAACTCTTCAAGTTTAAAATGCTGAGATGTAAGTTTCTTTAAGCTTCATATTGTTTACTGTATACATTTTACCATAAAAATGTGATTTGCAATATTTTTACAACATGAATTATAATAAAAATTACAATGGTTAAACATATCATTGTACCTAATGCACTTTAAGATCAGCACTTAGAATCATCCCTATATTAAATAAACTGAGTGCATCGTGTGTTCAATTGATTCAGAATTTAAAACATACGTTTTATTAGAGCGACGCCGGTGGTGTAGTGGTGAGCGTGATTACCTCTCACCCCAGCAGGCCTGGGTTCAATCCCAGACGGCGCCGCCAGGATGTTCTGAGGCATAACATCTCATCTTCAGAAGGAGAAGTAAAGCCGTTGGTCCCCGGTTCATGAGTTGATGGGTCGATAGGTAGGGTCCAGGTGTGGGAGCTGCCTCCCTGGCAACGGTAACATTGGTGCTCAGCACAGAAAACAAGATCGATGGAAAACAAATCAAGGAAAAAAAAAACTTTCGCGAACTGGTTTTCGGTTTCGACCTCCATTTTGCACTTCTTTCTTCCATGGTCAGGCATACGGTGAGAATTGTTTTTATGTGTTCCTACATATAGTTTGTGAGGTACACATATTTCTCATATGTGAATCTATTGACATATATGTGTAGATTATAAATTTTATGTGTGGAGCGTTTTATGGAAATTATGTGTGAAATCACATAAATAAAATCTTGCTCCACCATTGGACGAATCAATGAAATTTTCCGCGTTACGTAATATTTGAACGGGACCCAATTGGGAAAAAAATATTGTAGTTTCACTGAAAGTAGGTCGATTTATCACAGAAATTTGACTCTTTCTGTAACTGTAACTCTGTCAATAGGGGATGGATTTTAATTCTAAACAAACAATTTTCTTCTATGTTTAGAAATGTTTCTACAAATCTGCTAAAATGTACATTTTATCAATTTTCAATTGGTCACTATTGAAAATTACACAATCGTCCAACTGTTGCAATGGTGATCAAAATTATCACCGATCGCAAAAATCGCTTTTCCTAACACAGCCGCCAAATATTGATATGGAGCACGTAATCCTACGTGAAATCTACGGTCGTATCTTGGATACAACCTCTTACTTTTTTTCAATATCTCTGTCTTATAAAGGACAATGAAGAAATTGCAATATCTTGAACATATAAAAAAATTTCTCATAATCTTGAATCTTGAAAAAATTTCAAAATCGTGTACTTATAAAAAAAAACTTTAAATCTTGAATCTTGAAAAAAAAATCTCATCATAGACACGTTATTTCGTCTTTTTGGCTATATACAGCTGAACAACGGCTATATCAGTGTTTGTAGGTTCTGATGAGCCCCGTATTTAGTCAAAAAGGCGATGATTGTTGTTGAGCATATAATCTCCCATTATGGTATTGGTTTAGTGATGTCTGGAACGTTTGAAAAGCCACCTATCGGCAAAACTTTGAAAATTATGTTTTTTATACAGTTTAAACTTCAACTCGGAAAACATTACTTTAAATAGGGGAAATGGCTCCAATGCTGGCCTATGGATCTAAGATTGGGCCCACCGCTAAAAATCTGCTATTTATCAATTTTATCTAGATGAACGCGTCATTGGGACGGTACCAATGGATATTTTTGGTCGCTATTAAAAATTGAGTCGATTGCTGAATTTATGTATGTTCCCAAATTAGTAGCATTTAGGCCGACATTACATCCATTTCCCCTGGGTAAATGTTGACCGATTTGGCACAAATTTTTAACAAAGCCTCAAGATTTCATTGAAAACAAGTGGTATTATGGCGAGGGGGAGGGTCATGTTTTAGTCACCCTGGCTTCTAACGTAAGAAAATGCTATATGTTTTGTTTACAAATCACATTAACTGCTAAATGTCAACGAATTTCAGTAAAATCACCATAGTTGTGCATATATTTCGAAAGCTCTGTCTTTCTGCAATTCGTTTAAAAATTATAAATTGGTTGAAACATTATTGAGTTACTCACATACCTAAAATCGGTTTTTAGCAACAACTTTAAATTTTTGGGGTGTTAGAACAATTTCAACTGTGATTTCATGGTGTAATCGACTAGACTAACAACCTACAATAGGTAAATTGAAAAGTTGTTTTTGTCGTGTAACACCGTGTAATAAACTTATCCAATAGTAAAATTTTGTACAAATTAAATAACCCAAAAATTTTTTTTTGCTTTATTATAGAGACTTTCAGCCTGTAGCTGGTTCGTCTCTTGCAAACCCAAAACTTGATAAATTCAAAAGCACATATCGCTGATTTTTTATATGTTGTGTAAAAACGCCTAAATTTTCAAGGAAAAATATAAAAACATACTGCGCCCTCTGTCAACATACCATGAAAACCATAATAACAAATACGATTGATGTTCTTCAAAAAGTATTTTTAATAACTTTTCCTTTGATAGGGGAAATGTCTCTAATTGTTGGCCTATGGATCTAAGATTGGGCCCATCGCTAAAAATCTGCTGTTTATCAATTTTATCTAGATGAACGCGTTATTGGGACGTTACTAATGGATATTTTTAGTTGCTATTGAAAATGGGGCCAAATTAGGGACACTTAGGCCGACATTACCTGCATTTCCCCTATTTTGATTTTTGAAATCGGTCCAGAGGTTCAAAAGTTATGAATTTTTGGAAAAATGTAATTTTTGAAAAAAAAAATTGAACCACCCTAACATGGAAATGGTACCACTATATATATGTTTTGTTATGGAATGGCTGTATAAGGGAATTCAAAATCCCAAGTTTGTCGAAATAAAATTAGAATTATTGTTCAACTTTGTACAATATAAGTTTCATATCATACACATCTTTCTTAATAAAAGCTAATACAGCACTGTTTAAGATAATACTGTCTTGAATTAGTCATAGGTTTAGACTATTTTTGAATATGTATGATAATGATGCAACATATTTTGTCTCATAGCATGTACCAAAAAACGATAAGAATATTCTTTTGCAAATATAGAGTAATCTCAGTGTCATTCATTATGATTCACTTTGCAGTTTTCTGCCACGGATTTATCACACCGATCTTACGTGTCAGGAGATAGAAAGAGAGTGAGCAGCTTCTAGAGCAGCTCAGTATAAATTCTGATTGCAAGCTAACCGGTGGTGAGGGTTGTTTCGCACTTGTTGCGTCTAGTTGTGTATTGCATCTGTGTAGGGTTTCGGTGAATGTCGTTTTGAAAATTACGTTATCATTTGCAATAGAGTGCCGATGCTGGATGAATAGTACTGGTTCTGCTTCTTTGCTCTGAGCCTTTTGTTTGAATTCGGGATTAAATTGCAAAAAGCATTCATAGAGATTGCTAGTGGAAAAACATCGTGTTTAAGTGTTGCTCGTTGACTCGGTGTCATAATCGTGAACACAGTTCTCCTCGCGGGTGCCATACAAATAGTGAAATTTGGAGAGTGTATTGATAGACTTAGTTGTTATTCCATCAACGAATAGAATTGTTAAATTTGTTAAGAAACCTGACAGTGATACTAAAGAAGCCGGTGATATGGATACTGAATCGCTGAAAATTTTAACCAAACCAAAAACAAAATTTGAATGGCCCATAATCTTTGATGCAACAGTCACGATTACAGGTAATATCACTATGCTCATGTTTTTAAGTATACCTCTCCCACCTTCCGTCACGTTTTTCCTATTCCTTATGCATTGCTTGATACAAAAACTTACACCCCCTCCCCCCTTAGAGCGTGACATAATATATGCATCACCCCCGTATACTGAACGGAATCTTCAAAACAACTATCTTACCAAACAATCTGTACAGTATAGTGTATTGAGAAAAAGCTTCAGTCACTCTACACCTTAAGTGTTTTAGTTGGAAGCTTATCTTTCCTTTACTGATTACACACATCAACCACAATCGTGAAATATGCTATAAGGGAAATGGATGTAATGTCGGCCTAAATGACCCTAATTTGGGCCCATACATAAATTCAGCAATTGACTAAAAATATCCATTAAAGTTCATCTAGATAAAATTGATAAATAGCAGATTTTTATCGATGGGCCCAATTCTAGATCCATAGGCCAACGCCATTTCCCCTATATGAAACATGTTATAAGCTGATATGCAATTTGTGTGACTTATGGTGTATGGCCTTTTTTTCAATCTATTTAATACCTATGCTAGAAGTATCGTTTTCGTTTAACCGAGTGCAATACCATGTTCCGCAGATAACTCGCGATTTTTTTTCACAAAGTAACGTCTGTTTGTCTGTGTTTTAACCAAGTACACTGAAACAAAATTCAATGGAAAAAAAATACTATATTGCTGGTTTAAATTAAATACCTTCACCAATAGATTTGTGCAGAAAACAATTTCATTTCATTTTACTATTATTTCTAACAAAATTACTATGCATTTTGAGCAAGCATAGTAGTTTTGCCAGAATCATAGTAAATTTGTTAGCATTCATAGTCAACTATACAGAATTCATAGTAGATTTGACGGTAATAAGCGTGATTATATTGAAAATAAGTGTTTTCTGCAAAATAGTAGGAATTCCTAACTATGGTCCTTGTTTCAGTGTAGTCATTCAAATCAAGCGGTGTTTTCGGAAAGAGATATTGATGATTGCATCTGAAACTGGAATGCCTCAAAAATGCAAAAAGTGTGATTAAAGTGCGCGTTTCCGTCAAATCATGTTGGTGTCTTCAGAGCACTTATTCATTATAAGGAATAGGTGCTCCAAAGACACCAAAACGATTTTAATAAGTGAAAATGCACGTAAAATGCGCAATATTTATCACACAGTAATCTAGCATCTCTTTTGCAGCAATATGCTGCACAAAAATTTAAAAAAATATGGCTTGAATACCAATTGCAAGTTGAGTATTTTTGTCGATTAACTTTAACATGATAATATTTATTTTTAATATTTTTACTTTTAATTTAATTTGATCGTATTGGAGTATTTTCCTAAAGTTTCACGCCGTCTTTGCTTTACTCATAGTGTCATAGCACCCAGTTTAATGGGACCATCTCGAAGAAACTTAATTCTCCTCTACCAGGGGAACAGTTTAAATAGATGTTAATATATTTAAGCATTTAAGCAGTTTCGCGGGGGAATAATATTGCGGCACGCTATGTCTAAAGGAACTTTTTTTGCAACTTTACCTGTACCTCAGTTTTTGTCTTCTCTCTAACAATGAAATCTCTTAAGGTTCTTGAGATTTTTGAGAAAAGTGTTTTGAAGTTTACATAGCCCTTGAAACTATAGAGACTATTGACGATATAGACTTTTACAGATCGAAGCAAATTCAGCTGAAAATAATTCAAAAGGGGATTTAAGTAGTCAAAATACTGAGTTTCAGTGGTATAGTAAGATTCCTCTTACGGCGCCGTAAGATTTCGTGAGAATTAAATAACTATGCAACATTTTTACTATCTGAATTTACTATTATTATCAATTCCATCTGTTTCATCCATTATTATCAATCCTTACATAAATATCTAATATTTAATAATGATAAAATAAAGTTGGTGCTGTCAAGACAAGGAGATTAATTCAAATGAGCACTTTTATACGATACCACCGCTTTGAACCAGTTCTCGGCGCATTTAACATGATTTTCTGCTACTTTATAGTTACTCCATGTGCGGGCAAAATCATGATGAACAGCATCGGTTGTTAAACCTGGTTAAGCCTTTTCCTGTACTTTTGAAAAAATCACTTATGCGATATTTTACAATATGGAATTTCGGGGTTACTGGAAGGTTTGCGGTAGACCAACGTTCACAAAAAAACAAAGATCTTTGTACTTTTTAAACATATTCTGAGTTCATCACCAGAGCAATGTCCATCTTGTCCAAAACCTTTAGCTGGCGATCTAAAATGCATCATTCTAAAACTGCACGTTTAAGAAGCAATGAGCACTGCTTATAATCGCATATCAGTCCCATACGGAAAAATTCATTGAATTTCAGGATCCCTAGTAGCACACTTGTCACAAACCGGTTGAATTAACTGCTATATGACTCATTTTAGTCACAATCAAGTTGCTGTAAGTTTGTGTAACTGAACTGTGCTACTTGGGATGGGACTGATATGCCATTATACTGCCGGTAATTGCAAGTCAGTCCCATCTGCAGTTTTTTTTTTTATCAATTTTGAGTTAGCATCATTATTCAGTTTATTTTTCTATGTTTTTAGATGTTCTATTGAAAAAAGGTGGTTTGTTCAAGAAAAATGGAATATGGACCACAAAAGATCATCCGGCACAGAAATCCGCCTGCTGCAACCAGAGAGTCACATCGATCTTCTTACTTTTTGGGGACCTTTACTCAGACACCCTTCATACAACCGGCCGCCAAAGTCGCGTTAGTTTGATTTGTATAGGTTCTATTATTTCGACAATGTACTGTACATGAGGCTTTTAATTTTGGCCTATAGAGGAACTATGGACATTATGTACACCCTAAGGATTTTGCCAAGTTTGACTTGATAGGAATCAACATATCGCTATGTGTTATTTACTACACATTTTGTCACTAATTTAGCAAACAGTTGCACATTGAAGCAGTTTTTTTTTTTCTTTATTTGTTTTCCGTCGATGTACTGAGTACCAATGCTACCGACACCAGGGAGGCAGCTCCCACACCTGGACCCTACCCTATCGACCCATCAACTCATGACCAACGGGGACCACGGGGACCAACGGCTTTACTTCTCCTTCCGAAGGAAGACGTGATCAGAGATGTTATGCCTCAGAAAATCCCGGTGGCATCAACTGGAATTGAAACCAGGTCTTTTGGGGTGAGAGGCAATGACGCTTACCACTACACCACCGGCACCGCTATTGAAGCAAATTTAAAAAATAACCTTTTTCTTCTTAAAAAACGATTTGAAAATTTGTTGCATAACACTGACAGCTACCGGGGCAAAATGGATACCTTCGGTCTACCCCAACTGGAGAAGATATCAGGCGTAACATTTGATAACGGCACAAAAGCTTTTGTAAACAAACTTTGTTAGGTCCTTTGCACGTGAACCAAAGTACGCCCACGCAAACCAATACCACTTTCGGAAAGGTGAGAGTTGCCCCTACTCGTTGTTGGTTCGCGTACAAAGGGCCTTACAAAGTTTGTTTACAAAAGCTTTTGAGCCTTTATCAAATGTTACGCCTGATATTTTATCGTAAGTTTTTGATTATTTTAATGTACCCTCAAAAATTAATCAACAATATATGTGGGAACAACAAAAACAATTGAATATTCCACAAGATACGATAATATTGCTGTCTAATTACCGTCATCTGCTCGCTACACCTTATTTGATGATACGAAAATAATTTTTCAGCACACAGCAAGCCTTTGCGTTTTTTTTTCAAGAATTTATGGTGGTTAGGAATATATTGAAATTAGTTCACTCGTTAAATTACTCATTTAGCGGCGCCGGTGGTGTAGTGGTAAGCGTGATTGCCTCTCACCCCAGCAGGCCTGGGTTCAATCCCAGTCGGCGCCGCCGGGATGTTCTGAGGCATAACATCTCTGATCACGGGGAAGTAAAGCCGTTGGTCCCCGGTTCATGAGTTGATGGGTCGATAGGTAGGGTCCAGGTGTGGGAGCTGCCTTCCTGGCATCGGTAGCATTGGTGCTCAGCACGGAAAACAAGATCGACGGTAAACAAATCAAAAAAAAAAAAAAAAAAAAAAAAAAAAAAAATACTCATTCAGCAGAGAAATTAAATATCTGTTGCATCTAAATTGAAAAAAAAAATGTTGATGTTTTGGAAAATATAGTGGGTGTCCAATCTGCCCGGGTGTTCACAATGCCCCTATTTACTATACTGTAAAAAATGACAAAAGCGCCTTTATATGGTAAGTTTTCTTAGTAGACCGATAAAATGCACAGCTTTGCCGACGAACCCACCCTTCTAGGACTTTTCGTTCAACAGCTAGATTCGAGCGCCACCTATGCGGCAGGAATACTAACTAATCAGAAATCACCAAAAGTTGGCCCTTAATAAACTGAGCAACTTTGAAGAAGACTGCAAATCTGTAGCATACACACCCACGGCGCTAGAGATTTTGGCTACGCTACCGTGTTCATTACCGCACTACCGCACTCATCAAACTTTCACCAGGTTTTATCCGTGATCCACTCTTTTCTCTGGGATTCCAGATTGTTCTCAAAGAATGAAAGATTATTCGAAGAAAAATCACCAATATCGGGGATGCTTAAAGTTAATTTCACACGGAACATTGACTCTTTTTCGTGGCTAATATTTACTAATTACCTACAACTAATGATTCACTCTTCATTTTAATTTGCAGTTGTGACTTTCATTGCCATCAGTGAATTCGGACTATTTCCACAATTAGTCAAACGGGGATATTTCTGCGATGACAGGTCCATCCAGCATCCATTTAATGGAGATACTGTAGCCACCAGTGTGTTACTAATCAGCGGAATTATACCTCTCTTTTTGGTAAGTATTGCTCCTAGTATTTGTCTAGCGAATTACTACAATACAATTTATCATATCTAAACATTCCAATTTAGATTTGGATAACAGAACTATTATTTTATACACCACCTTCAACCCTGTGTGCCAGAACCGACGGATTGAGCACTCGTTGCTCTAACACGTGGCACAAATGTTGGTACTGGTTTAAGAAGTATGGTCGGGGGTTGGTAATTAAGCTTTTGATAGTGGACATTCTGAAGGTATAATATATATATGGTGTTCTAAATGCATCGCGACTTTTAAACTAAGGTACATTATTAACGTTTATAGATCTTCTCTGGTGAACATAGGCCGCATTTCATTGATACGTGTAGACCGGACGTTATCTGCGAAGGAAATGAGTAAGTTTTGATAGCTTTTGGCATACCAAATTTAAGTAAACTAATAGATATGATCCCATCTCAGATATGTTTCTACTTACGTGTGTACAAACACTGACTATCGGCCGTACTTCATTCGAGATGCCAGCAAATCGTTTCCCTCCGGGCATTCCTCTGTGAGCGTGTATGCGTCAATTTTCATGATCTGGTACTTGCAGAAACGGATCCCGAAGGTGCGTTCCGTGATGGCTCTTCCATTGTGCCAAATCTTGGTAGCTATTTGGGGAATATTTTGTTCAATGTCACGCATAATAGATAATCGTCATCATTGGTGGGACGTCCTTGCTGGCTCGATTATTGGAGCAGGCGCTGCTGCTCTAACGGTAAGTCATAGTTTCGTATAAAAATAAATCAAAAGATTTCAATTTATGTTCGATATTTCAGTGCATGTTCAGTTGTCATAACTTCGACAGAACAAAATTAAAGGCCAGTCAAACAACGTATAAGGAACACGATATCAATCTAGTAGCAAATAACATACACTACATGACGACCAACGGTCTGAACAGTACCATCAGTTCTTAAAAAATAATCGTCATTCCTATTAATCAGCGATGGATTAAAAATCACACTTAAAAATAACTAAATGGAATGTGCAGGTTAGAAAGTGAAATGTTGTCACCGAATTTACACAAATCTAGGATTATAAGAAGCAAAAGTTCAAATTGTGATTAACATTTTTTCAAACGTATTACCGATGATGTATTGTGATATTAGAACTAGACAGGTGGAGATTTGACAATCAAGCAAAAGAAGATAAAACCATGTACTAAAGATGCCGCTAATCACTGAAGAAGTATTATAACAAACAACATAATGCAGTTGCAATGCCAGCGTGCTGTAACATAAAACCCCAGCATTCAACTCGTTTCGTCGTCGTAGCTATTTATAGTGAATAGAAGAAATGAAATTGTGAAGTTAAGCTAAAAGAAGATTAGTATATTGCTTGCACAGTCTAGGAGAGTAGAGGAATAACCGGTTGCGCTACGCAGGTCGTGTGATGTGACGAAAGTAAGATGTAGATCGAGAAGTGTTGTTTACATGTGGCATGGAAACCATGCTGATTTTACGCTTTAAGCTAATTGAAGATTTCAGATGTAGTCAAAGCACGTGTCAGTTGTAAGCAAGATATAATCTTTGAACGTTTTGTCATCCCAATCCTATCTAGGTACGATCTTAGTGTGCAGATTAAAAATTGCATGATGACACTGTCAACTATTATTAAGTAGAAAAATGGTTTTAATAAAACAATCATATATATTTTAAACAAAAAACGTTAAAACTAATCATCCGAATTGGTTGTTTCAAACACTTCGGGCCCCATATCTAAATCACACTTTCCACTATTATCCAATATATCTGACAATTTTCAACGGATTTCTGATGTTGTGTCTTGTTGAAAAGGGCACGCATTGGTGGTATTGGTTTTATTTTATTTATTTTTTTTAGTTCAACTGATCATGATAAGGGGTTTGGCGGTTAATTCCTTAAATTCCGGATTAATTTTTGTCAAATCGATAGTAAGTTTTGGCCAATGAGAGTAAAGGTCCACCCAAATTTTCCTTGCTTTTCCAGGAAAAACAGCTTGAATATGACGAAAATCGTCGAAAATTTAACACAGTCCAGGAGTATACTAATACAGCGGTTCTCAATTTTTTTTCGATTGCGACACAGGAATTGTATAAGCTTAGGAATTTAGGAATTGTATAAGCTCGCTACCGGCCAATATTAAATGCAGGTGTAATTAGGCAAAATTAGTCTAGTCTAGTCTACACATACACAGCCAGTACTTGAAAGAATCCTGGAAAATGATACATCTATCATTTTTCTTGTCATTATTAATGCCTGCTGCACATCAAGGATGTGAAACAAACAATAAAGCGGCCAGGCCTACTGTGTAGCGTTTAGTTAATTTTTGTGGAAGTGAATGTTTACCATGTCTACTTAATAAGTATAGACAGTGGTTAACATTTAATCCACAGGTAATCAAAGAGCGGGGACATACCGTACCAACCGCTCCGTATGCAGGATTTGAAAATAGGCTATATAAATCGTTGGGAGTGACAGAGCTAAGAAAGTTAATGTACACTCCTTGGTTGTCCGATCTCCTGGGATGGAACACAGGTATTTACCCCTTGTGTTCGAGCGTACAGTCCTCCCTCCGTACAAGCGTGGACGGCACCGCCCACCCAGTTCCATCCCTCAATCGATCCAGCCGACCTCAGTCGAAGGACAACAGAGAGCGGTGTGCTTACGTAACCTATACGGAGGGAATGCTGTATTCGCCTAGGTTATAGCGCCCTTGCTCGCTACCATTTTCTTCTAGCGGTTGGGACCTGAGCACTAACTCTTGTCCTAGCCCTATATGGCATATGGTTATAGCGCCATTACTCGCTTTCTGAAAAGAGAAGAAGGGAAGGGAAGGGAAGGAGAGGAAAAGGACTAGGGAAAAGGAAATGATGGAATTCCTTTCCTCATTAGTATTTGTATCGTCAACTTTTATGAAAACTATATAAATCATTTTTCCTTGGTCAGAGGTATTATTACGACATTTGAATAAGATTGTCTTATCATTTGTTATTCAAAATTTAATGTTATAATGATCAACATAGCTTTGGATTATCCAATATAAATCGGTAACACTGTCCTGCAACCGATGATTTTTCAGGTGTAATTAGGCAAAATTATGTTAAAAAGTCATGATATTTTAACGGCTTGAAACGCCAAAACGCCCAAAACTTGCATAGAAAGATAAAATAGCTAGACTCGACAAAATTATGGTTAATCGACAAAAAATAAATACAAAAATGGCCTCAAATGTTCAAAAATTATCTGATGACTCTGAAAGAGCGGTCTAAACGCATGAGTAGTATACAAAAATCTACTGTAAAACTAGTGGCGTCCCGTAACCTCACTTTTTACCTGAGCACCAATTTTCAAAATCAGATTTTTGCCAATTCATACTCGAATCGCTTGAAAAATACACTTCATATTCTAATTTACTCGATATCTATCCATTGCAAGCAATATTTTGATAATTGTTTATGTTTTGGGAGTTGGTGCACAGGTAGATTGAGGTTATGGAAGCGCTACTGGTTAAAACTACAGTCAACTCTCCATAACTCGATGTCCACTAACTCGATATCGAGTTATAGAGCCATAGTAAAAATTAATTTCATGGTTATTGGGATAGCGATTGTGTATGGGATTGTTATTCTATAACTCGATAATTCTATAACTCGATGGTCCTTTGAATAACGAGTTGTAGAAAGTTGACTATAATTATAAAACCACCTCATAACGTTGTTAAAACACCGAGTCAAGACCTACTTCTAATGCCAGTATGACCATTAAAAACAGCCAAAAATCGCGAAAAAGTCCTCAAAACGCTAAAATGGCTTAGAAACGTCAATATACCCTAAACAAGATAAAAACGGCGTAGAATTGCAATATAAATTGGTCTACAAATCTTATCAACAGCTTGAAAATGATAATTCTTATAATAATCATGACACGTTAAAATGGCCCTAAAATACCCAAAAATGGTCCAAATATGTCCAAATGGCCTAGACTTTCCAAACTGGCTGCATAATGCCAAAATGGCTTTGAAACTGATTATCTCTGCATAATTTTATAATCAGATTCATGCTGCTAGCAATTTAAAAAAAACCTATGATCAACAATCTAAATAGACAGAGTGAAATCCCCACCAAAATTTTTAACTGATTAAAACTTGGAAAAGCTATCTTCTAACTGAATATGATTATTTTTGGCTGCACAAACTTTTATTCAGCTTTTAATGTTTATTGGGATATCTCTCAATTTTCCTCTCGAAGTAACATAAAAACACTTTGAATGTAACAACTCAAGGCGGGAGTAGCCCTCAACAATGCTGATGATGGTACATCACGCAACAACCACCCTACTGCTTTCTCTCTGAGATGACTAAGTTGGTCATGACGAGAGGAGCAACACAGGAGCAATAGTTGAGTAAAGAAGAATTGCATTATAACACACCATCGACTGAAAATGATTTCGGCAACGTGGGGCTTTAGGTAGTGCTGAAACATCGCTAGAACTATTCCACAGCCACAGACAGTATATGAGCAAGTCAAGCGCACACTTTTTTGCCTGTAGACGTGAAGACATACTTTAAATCTCCGCGTACATCGAACGGGTTAGGCAAAGAAGTATGTGTTTGACTTGTCCGTCGAATTAATGGCCCTTCGCCTAGCCCTTCGCTTATTTTCCACTTCTATTGAATTTTCATACTGCCGTACTTTAACGGAAGTATCTACCTACCCTCTTCTAAGACCATTCTCTAGCTAATAAATTATCACACTAAAGCTTCATGTTAGATAGCATTTCCAACCAACTCTAGATTTTTAAGACGTTTATATTACTTGACTAGCCCCCGAGGGGGACGACTCTATCTACGCTGCAGGAAAGATTGTGTTGAGTTGTTGCTAGCTGCTCGTACGCTGAGTAGATAGAAAGAAGATTGATGACGATTCTGAAGATTTCCTGCAAAAAGATGATGCGCGATGCAAGTAGATGCGAGAAATGCAAGAAGATTTTTCGAAGGTTGATTCGCTAGTGTGAGATGTTTTGAGTATCTAAAATTGAGATTTAGATGTGTCGCCCCCCCTCGCTAGCCCCATTGGTCCCAAGTACACTCAGGTCTTTTTTTACACGGTGGATACGTACCGTGTAGAAAAAACCTACGAAATTTCGATTTTTCACATGTTTAAATGTTTAAAAAAAATCGGATTTTGATGCAATTTGTAATTATAGCATGCTATGGTTCATATAGACATATTTAAAAAAATTCTGCATTTACACCAAAAATTGTGTTTTTTTTAAATACGCCATTCAATTACCTATAGCTTGAAACGGATAATGTGATTGGAATCAAGTCGATAGGTTGTATCGTTGTCGAGAAATCGTTAAAAACGTACCGTGTAAATCGCGAAAAACCGTGTAAAAATAACCGTGTAAAAAAACCGCGTAAAAGACTTCAGTGTACATCAATAAGCATATCCCATTCTCGTACTATAATCTGTCAAAGTTTGTGTTTGTTTTGATTCGCCTTATAAATTGACAAAGTTTAATGAGGGATTCGTGGATTTTCTTATGGTCTAGTACTTCCTGAGGCAACAGATTGAGCACAGACAAACAGACATAACACTCGCAAGATGTTCATCGAACAAGCATTTACCGGTCAATTTAAAAGTATCTTAGTTGGTAGTACCGCCACCTGTGGCGCGCATTGTCAATTCCCTTCCGTTTGACGTTTTCACACTACCGCCATCTGTTCAGCGTACTACCCACCATAGTGTACTCAGCAGATGGCGGATATGTTTTAGCGACGATGTTTTACAGTGAGAAATATTCAATGTGTTATGTCTGTTTGTCTGTGGATTGAGCATATTTCTTCGGGGGTCTATGGTATTATGGAGGAATTTATAATAGAATTGAATTTTTTAGATGCTGGACACAGAAAAACGATCAAGATTCAAGGTTTGGGAAAAAAGAAATAGAAAATCTGAGGCTTTGATTTTTTAGGATTTCAATTTTAGAAAATTAAATGATCCTGTATTTAGAAAAACCTTCAAGGTTCAGGGTGCCTTTTTTAAATTAAATATGCCAGGCATGGAGGGGGGAGAAGGAGGAGAAGGTTATGGAACGTGAGAAATTTTCAAATTCCAAAACTAACAAAAATGTTTGAAATGCCGAACTTTGAAATTAAACATGTAAATTATCCGAAAAGCTCTAGCAAAACCTGAAAAACTATGGAATTTTTATTTAGCTAAGTGAGTAGACACCTTGCATGAGAACCAGTAAAATGTTACCGTAAACCGGGAGTAAATTGATCACTGGGGTGAAATTGCTGAAAAAAGTTCGTTTTTTTTTCAAAAATTTACTATCGCAATAATTATTAAGGCTCGTTTACCAGTATTTTTAAATGAGTTTGTTTAAAAATCATTGATAATTCTACATTAATGTGAGCCACTATTTTGTTCCCACATTTATGGTTGATAAAAAAACATATTTTTCAAACATATTAATGATATTTATGAGCTGTAATCACATCAACTCACATTATTCTACAGACATACTGTAAGCTAAAGTGATAATAAAATAGATGCAAGTTAACCCCAAAACATTATTTTCAAATTTTCATACAATAATTATTCAAACTAAAACATAAGTAAATAATTCAACAAATCAATCTACTAGGTTTTGTACTGGTTTTAACAATAAATTAATTGAAAATAAACTACAAGCGAAGAAAATATTCACATATTACCGGTACTTCATTAAATAAATTCACATGAGAAGATCACGAAGGCATAAGAAGCCTCGAAAATTTCAAATAATATTGGTAGATAAACAAGAGAGTTAACTCAGGCATAACACTTGATAACGGCACAAAAGCATTTGTAAACAAACTTTTTAAGGCCATTTACACGCGAACCAAAGCACGCCCACGCAAACCAATACCACTTTCGAAAAGGTGATAGTTGCCCCTATCCGATTATGTTGTTGGTCTTTTTTCCTCTTCCGGCATCCCTCCGCCTTACATAAAAAGAATTTATCCTTATTTCCAGCATAGAATTAAAATTCCTCTTCTGATTGAGGAAATTTGGCGAGGAGAGTGTGGCAGATAGAGTTAATGAGGAATTAAAATGATGAAAAAAATTGGCTGTTAACAAATGAGAGTTTAGTCAATTTCGTTGAGTAAAATCGAGTGAGTGTGAAGTATGATAGGTAATAGGTACAGTATGCAAAAAAAGTTTATCCACCCCCCTACCAATTGACGATTTTTTTGTTTTCTGGTGGAAATCAGTTTAATTTTATGAGTGTTCCTCCATGATTTATAAACTTATGTTTATTTACCACATTGCCATTGAAAATACGGCGTTTATATCTTTTCTTGAGATTTCATGTGATACATTATGAAAAAATGTAAAAAATTACGCAAAAAATTTTTATCCATCCCCAAACGGATACTACGATTTAAGTGTGTTTTACAGAGTTTTAGTGTGTATTCTGCAACTTTTTCAAATGTAAACATTGTGTCTAGCTGTCATTTAGTGCTCTTGAAGTTTTCGTGCTCAAAATTTTTAGTTTCGTGTTCAAAATTGGAAGTTATTTGTTGCAAAATGCCCAAAAAACCACAAATTTCGAACAGTATCCGAAATTTGATTATTAAACATCACAAATTAGATTCCTATCCAATTGTATAACTGTTAAATTTACGTCAACGCAACGCAAACGGATCTAATGTGGGTAAACTTGAAGAAAAAAAAGGTCACGGCAGTCTCAATCACTCGGAAGCCCACTGAAACGAATCTCTTGAGGATATTCGCCAACCATCAATCTTTCAAGGCACTATTGCCAGCCCAGCAGCAACCAATTGGGTCAATAATTCGTATTTCGGATGATATTACACGCTTTCGATATACCTACCTACGAAGTCCATAGCGATACAATCTCCCATGTTTTTGTTTACGTTAAACTTGTTTTTGTGTGAAAAATATTGTTCGAACGTAAACGAGAATATGGATTAAAAGTTTCTTTCATAAATCAGAACTAATTTTTAGAATTCCTTAAGTTTTTTTACTATTGCCCCTTTTTCCTCTCAAGATTACAGAAAAAATATCAACCGCAATGATTTGATGTCTAAAATACTATTTTATAGCTTAATGCTAGAGTTTGTGAAAATGTGAAATAAACCGCTCATATCACCATTAGATAACATAAAGAATGTAGCATAGTAACGACTCAACCGAGCTCATCAGTACGATTGTTTTACAGTTTCGCTTCCGTCTTCAGCAGCGGGGCCAGCTTTTGAGCCAGCATAATGTTTCCGGTAATCTTCAGCTTGCCCTTCATGAAAGCAGCCTGCGGTTGTAGTTTGCCCAGTGCCATATCAACCATATCACTGTCGGAAATGGTCATAGTGGTGTCAGCCTTTCCCTGCACTTGTCCTTCGTACACTTTGGCGTTCTTCAAATCCAGCACTGAAATATGAAACGAATCAAAATTACTAAATGGTAAACTACAATGTAATGTACTTTCAGAGCGATTATATAACATTTGCCCGAATAGACCATTTAGCCGAACGCACCATTTACCGGAATGAACCATTTTCTCAATAATATTAAGTACGTCTAAAGCCTATAGCATACAGATACAGATTACACACTAGCAGTTTACATGTAAAGTCAGAAGAATTGTTGTCCTTAGATCTTGAATAATTGTAAAGCTTGAGTTTAAGGAATGATATTCAAAGTTCTTTGCCAACAAAATAGTAAAATATAAACTACGAACTTAATAAAGTGTCAACATCTTAAGAGGGTTGAGATGAATTATGACTAAACAATAATTTAAAAAACTCAGGATGGGGCTTATAACATGGCAAAATCTAAGCAAGTATATTTATGTGAAATCTTGAGCTCACACCGGTCCACTCGGCCGCTTCGCCAATTTTTTCGGCTTTTCATGATTTGGCATTAAATTGTTTCGGTCTTTTGTACTTCGACCTTTTGGGATTGGCGTAGTAGTAATCCCGAAAAATCCAGTCCATATGATGAATTATTTTTGTAAACAAGTGCTAGTACAAAAAATGATACATACAGCCTAAAATTGTCGAACCCATCATAAAAAGTTTTTGTTTAAAATCAATAGTTTGCTAATTGTTTATCCAGGGGTTCGACTCAATGAAAATTCCCCGATTTTTCAGTAAGCTTTCCAAAAAAAAAATCCAGGAACAATACCTATCCGTTTTAGGCAACTCTCATCAGCTATAGCTGTCCCTAGATATTTACTAGTCTGTTCTGGACATTTTTCCATGAAATAGCACATGTACCTCTAACCCATGAAAAATTGTCCAGTACAATCTCAAATTGAATAAAGCGTTCGATTTTTTTTATAGAATGCAAAAAATACAAAAATCACGTGTTGCTAAAAACGGTAAGGCACCGCATTTTCCTAAATTCAAAAATTTTAAACGTTTCAAGCGTCAGATAATAAATTCAAGCGGAAACTATGATTCACAGCGATTTTTGAAGAAAACTGCAACCATCTCGGTATCAATCTACATAACATCCTTACTTAATCGCAGTTCCGTGATCCGTTTCTTACCTCGATTTACTCCATGATACGAGAAGAGGTCCCTGGCATGGAAATTTTCTCACCCTTAGAAGTTCTTTTCTAATTGTTTCTGAATTCCACGCTAGGGGTCTCAGTTCCGCTACATCTTGCATATGAAACACTTGTCTTTAATCACATTATAATTTTATTTTTCTTTGAGCATGTTGAAACTTAGCTTCACAAGAAAATTATACGCTTAACCAAACGCCATTTCGCGATCGGATTTAATCGATCGGAAATCGTAAAAGCAGCACTTTCTCCTCTGCTGTAAGTAAATTCCATCTTAACAGCAATAGCAACAACATCACAATATTAAACCTTGTCTGAGAAGCTTATTTTCCGAGCTCACCAGGTTCACAAAATGCAAAAATGACGTAGCATTTTAGGGTAATTTTCCTAACAACTGTTGCTGATATGTGCTTTAATTATAGGTTGTTTAGCCTCCGCAACGAGTTTGGTATGTTCAGTTAATGTTAATTCCCAGCAGTGATGGCATAATCCTCACTCAAATGATTTTGTTTCGCTCTCAAGGGCTCCCAATATCACGCATGATATTGGAATAAAATATCAAGCATGATATTGTTTTTACAAGCTCCTTTGATATTGCGAGTCTATTCAGAACATGTAAAATTGAAGCCACGAGTTGACTAACCAAAAAAATGATTCCTTTGCACATCGTTTTCTTAGAAAGAGAAAGCATAGTTTGCTATCTTTCTTTACGCTTCACTGATGGCAGACACGAAGTTACTGCTGCCAGCAGTGATGGAAGTTTCGTTTCGTGTTCGGATGTACAGCAAAAATCTTGAAGCTCAAAAGCAACACAGTTGGGTGAGAATTGTAGCCGGGGAGTTTTGTTAGCATGATATCATAGCAACCGTATCACAGCTTGTAATATCATCGGCTGTTGTTTGCGTGTTGAGTTTTTGGTTTACGATACTCAAATGAGATTATGCACATTGGTGAGCTTAGATCTTTTGATATTTTCACAACACTGATTCTCAGTATTTAAAATCTTGGATACCTACTCTTCAGTATATCTTATTATATGACGTAAAAGACCTTGTTTACTTCTATCGTTGATGTTGACCTGTCTATACATATTTATTACACTCATCTTGTTTCTTGGGGGTTACCTAAAAGCGAAGACAACATATCAAGAAGACTGGCAACTCTTCCATTTTCTCAAACGACCGGCATGAGGCAGGCACAATCGCGTCATCTCCCGCTCAAAGGTAAATGCTCCGAACGAATTGGATAGCAAAAGTTCCATCCAGAAGAAAGGTTTGTGCATTTACTCATTTTTCTATGCGTTGCTTCCATCTTCGCTCGAGCACAGCGCTGCTGTGTCTGTCGCTCGGATTCAGGCAAAGTTGCCAGTCTTCTTGATATGTTGTATTCTAAAAAATCGACATTGCTCAAAATTGGCCTTTGCTCACTTTCAACTCTCTAGGGGAAACAGCCCTATTGTTGCAGTACGTTAACAGCGTTAGAAGCCTATTGTTGTGTATGGAGGTCTCATACAACAATACACAACAATAGGCTTCTAACGCTGCTAACGTACCGCAACAATAGGGCTGTTTCCCCTAGAGAGTAGAAAGCGAGCAAAGGCCAATAGTGCTGTTTCCCCTATATACAATTTCACACTGCCGTACTCTAACTGAACTATCAACTCTATACTTTCATCTCCTCATCTATCGTATAAAATGACCACTAAAGTTTGATATCTGGCATCTCCAACTATATAATTAGAGGGTACATTTTTTGAAGATTCTGGGTGAAACATCTATTAAAAGACGCAACTCTAATTAAACATTAGAAATGAAGAACCATCCTCAAACATAATTAAGTTAAAAATAACATTACTTCATTAATTAAGTTGTTTGAAACTAGCGAGGTCAGTCATAATTATTAATAAGTTTATGTGATTAAGAAATATTTGCCTGAATTTGAAAGAAATTCCCTGATTTTCCAGGTTTTTCAGGTATTCGACACCCTGTTATCAATAATTACTCAGTTAAATCCTCAAGAATACATATGGACAGAGATTAATTAACACACGGAGAATCTTAAATAAGTACTGACTATTTAATGGTATATTGACAAACATGAGACGGACCGAAAAGTTGTGGATCACCTGTGCTACCATGGGAAGGAGAAAATATCTTCTCATGATATTCCTTAATACGTATGATGGATTACTTGCAATTTAAATTTATCAATTTATTTTCATACAGCAAGTATTTAAATTAGTGAACAAGAATTTAATTAAAAATGTCTAAAATATCTTCTAAATAACCAAATTTGTTTGCTTAAATGTGCTTGAAATGTGAATGGAATTTTTCCATTTTTTAGCATTTTGTATGAATCGAAGCCGGAACCGAATAGTCGTCGATCGATTTTCATCCGACTTCACAACGCTGATTCTATCAAACATGAAAGTATCGAAAGTAAACCGTCTAATCCAAAATAGCCCACCATGACGACGGTAGGTAGGAGGCCTGAGTCATGGTACTATCCGTTTTTCCATGGGAGCATCTTGACAAAATCACACATTCACACACGTGTTAAGCTATTAGATATCCATCTGTTAGTATAAATGACTTCACCACCGATTGTTTACTTACCCCACTCCTTGGATACTTTGCCACCGTCCGTAATCTTGTACAGAAACACAGCGTTGATGGCCTTAGCCTTAGCTTCGTTCTCCGACACTCGATCCTTGATACCGGCGAACACGGCATCACTCTGTAGGCTCTTTCCGGCGGTCATGTTTGGTTTCAAGACAACCTTCTTCAAATCGACGTAAGCACCTATTGAAACGAGAGATGAACAACAAAAAATACATTCAGTGTTAAAATTACTCGAACGATTAGATGTAATTACTATGAGACTGCTGAAATCGACGGACGATCGCAACAAGCTGCAAAAACTGTCTGAGGGTTGGGAACCGGTTGTGAATTTTTAATTCAACACTGACACCTACAGGTCAGCGATAGGAAATCGAGTCCAAAAGTCAAACTTTTGATTGAATTATGTTATTTTTATTCGAATAAATGCCTAATCATGGCACTTGAGTTGCGATTAACAACCACCAAGGTACCAGTCTTATCTAAAATCGATAGGATTACACTGCCTAAAAGGGTGGTGCAGAAAATTTCACCCCCTGGGTTGTAAATTTGCAAACGAAATGATAAGATTAAACTACTCACACTGAACCTGTACTTACGGAATCGGAACACTTGCTGGTCCCTCAAAATTAAGATTTTATGTACGATTAGACTCACGCAAATGTGCTCCAATCGACTATACCTCTTTCTGAGCTTTCTGACTGACTACAGTGACTCTTTTTTAACTACTTCTGTCAATTAAAATAACACATGAGTGCAAGCCTTGGTCGGCTTCACAAATATGAACTACTACAGAGAATTCACACAAACATGGAACGGAAAACTTATCATCCATTCATCAACTCAGTATACCGTACATACACCGTGGTTCGAAGACTGAAGCATGCGTATGGGTGCTGTCGCTAAGTTTCATTCGTAATATGCTATACAGCAATTATTGCCTATAATCGCATATCAGTCTTATCTTTACTTGATTTCCTATTCATATGGGACTGTTATGTGATTAAGGGAATATAGCATGATCATCAAATCGCTTTGCATTCATATGCAGTGCTATGGTGCTATGAACTATGATACAAAAAATACGATACAGGAACGTATACAGGATACACATTAAAATGTATTCGACACCATTGCCTGTAAATGGTCTGCAGACGTATGCTACTTTTCAACACCACCGAATGCACGAATCGAATCAGCCATAAGCTGGCTAACTTGTATGTATCAAATGAAGAAACTTCATCTGATCATGGATGCGTATACTTTGATCAGTTGAATTTTCCTTCACAGACCTTGACCTTTAGATATCCTCGTTCAACAAACTGGGATTTCTATTCTGAACGATTAGCAACCATGAATACTATAGAAACTCCAAATGGCTTAGATGATGCCGTTGATATCACAACGTCTTACACATAATTGAAGCTTACGACAAAGCTTGCCTGTTGTGGTCTGTCAAAACTACTAGCCAAGTAACACTGCAAGTTTTATCGAAGTTTTAAAGCAGTCTTCAAACCTAAAACATGGTCTACACCACCGTAAAACCAAAATTATTACTTGTGCTAGCTATGCTTAGGAAACTGTGTAGAAAGAAAACCTTGGAATAGACGTCGCTCATAGGGCTCGGAATCGTTTAGGGCAGCGCGCAACTCGCAAAACTGATAAAAAGCTCTCAGATCTGCTGAGCAATCTGACTGAAAAACCTTTGTACAAATGCTTCCAATTTGAATGAGCTTAGTCGATTAAACCAAATTCTATTTTCAAGTGACCGAAATTCAAAAACCAAACGAAGCTCTCGATGCAGTGCGGAGACGAGTATTGCATCCAGTAGGGCTTGAAGGTGTCAACAATACGCTACGTACGTTGTTTGGACGGCCGGAAGTGATCGTCAACTCGCTGGTATGCAAGATTCGACCAAATACGGAGAAGCTTCTGATCGATTTTGGTGTTGCTGTCCAGAATATGTGCGCTTTGTTCGTAGTCAGTGAGTTGAACGAACATCTATGCAATGTGACAATCCTTCAAGAAGTTGTCGAGAGATTGTCACCAATTATCAAGCCCGACTGGGCGAGACACCATCAAGCACTGAACTCGGCTACATGATCGGACTTCAATAAGTGGCTAAGAACGCAGCTTGTGCAGTAACGGTTCTGTCATCATTCGGCACCTGAGAAGCTTAGATTACTCTTTGGAGCATCGTTCATTACTTTTTAATATGAAAAGCTAACGTTTAGTCCAAAGAAACTTTCAGTCAACTCATGTTAAAATAGATTAATGCTATTATTATCCCAAACAAACTTCACAAACTTCGCACCGTTCAGCCACACTACGTGTTTTCACTGAAGATTCACTAGAGTGCGCACTCGAGTGCACATTCAGTGAAAACACGAAAATTTGCGTAACTTTTGTTCTGATAAGTCCCGGTCGTCCTTCACGGGCGAGGAAAATCTGACCGTACACTGACCGACTGCCTGTGAATCGTATATATTGTGTCTTAGATGGACAACGGACCATCAACGTTAGGAACTACAAACAGGAAAGACCTTGAAAGACCATCACCTTGTCAAAGTCCTTTGTTAGTTTCCAGTCCGAGTCCGATAACGCACCCGATATCTTCACACAGCACTGAACATCATCTATCGTAGCATTGATCAATCTGGTCAGTTTCTCGGGAAAACTATTTTCGTCAATAATCATCCATAGCTCTTCACGGGCAATAGTATTGTAAGCGGCCTTCAAATCGATGTGGTGCAAAGGGACTTAAATTCACGACACTTTTGGGGGATCTGCCGCAACGCAAAGATTTGGTCAGTTGTCGATCGCCCGTCCACAAAACTGGCTTGATAACTTCCCACAAATCTGCTTGTTATCGGCGATAGACGGCGAGAGATGATCTTTGAAGGCACTTAGTAGACTGCGTTGAGAATAGTGATCACTCGATAATTAACTCACAGTTTAACTTGTCACCCTCTCTAGTTCTATTCCTCCGGTAGCTGTTTTGCATCCTAAATCCTGACTATCAATCGGTGCAGACAAGTAGCCAACCTATCCGGGCCCATTTTTAATAAGTTCCGCTTCGATAATATCTTTCCCAACTGCCTTGTTGTTCTTAAGCTATTTGATAGCAACTTCACTTATCGTGGGAGTAGTCATGTCTCCCTCGTTCGGCTTACCGATGAATGGCTGCTTTTACACTACCTCAGCAGTCCTCAAGAGGGACTTCGACCAGCTCTTCCTCATCCGGCAACGCATTTTCTAGGTTTTGCGGTAATCAGTTGGGACTTCGAGTAACTTAAGCCATTCCAGATTGTACCGTGGCGGGCGTCGGAACCGAATGTTGTTGTCAACGGAACGTCCTTTGGCACACTTTCACCATCGCAAGGCAGTGATCCGGATCGATGATTACGCCGATGATTACGCCGATGATTACGCCGCCGTGGTCGACTTGTGCTTCTGTCAGTGTCCAGTGTCAGAACTATTTCTCTCTCTCTCTCTCTCTCTCTCTCTCTCTCTCTCTCTCTCTCTCTCTCTCTCTCTCTCTCTCTCTCTCTCTCTCTCTCTCTCTCTCTCTCTCTCTCTCTCTCTCTCTCGCCATACACTTTATCTATTGTAAAATCTGGCAATTGTTTGCTTTTTATCGGTGTTTAAACAAACGTATTAATATACAGACGAAGTCGGTTTACGTTGTGATTATAAAATAGTGACAGTTAGACTAAGTGTGCGCAACTTTATTATTACATGCCATTACAGCTTGATAAGCATAATAAGTATTAATATTTTTATGTTTTTTTTTAAGAAATCTTACAATGGCAAGCAGGTGGGGTACTTGGCGTAATAAGTACGTCGATTAAGTATGTTTTATTTGAAGAAACAATTGGGTTCTTTACTTTGAAAAATATGTCGGTTTTCATACATCCTCTGAAAGGGCGTCATTTTCTGAGCACAACGATATTTTTTTCGATCCCATTTACTTCCATCTCAAATTTTAAATCAAGATTTAAAGCAAAATAATCACTTCACTGTTTGACACAAAACTAACCAACTGACAGCTCGTTTCCATACGAAGTACCATCGAGGGCCGCTAAGATGGTGATTTTTTCTAATGTAATCACACTTACTTAAAATAGTGGAATAGTGGAATAGTGCTCCAAAATTGATGAAATTTTGGATTTCGATTCCCTTTGTAATGCAATTAACTCAATACCCATAAAGAACCCAATTTAGTTACCCGATTAATTAGTTTATTTCATCTGGTTTCATCAATTTCATAAGCCGATTTAACAGTTGACTTAATCTTTTCCATAGTACAAACAACTGAATGAACCGATTAACCACTATATTTCGATTGGTTTCATCAATTTCGTATGCTGATTTAATTGTCGACTTAATCTGTTTCCATTGTAGAAACAATTTAATGAACTGATTAACCAGTATATTTCGTCTGGTTTCATAGAATCCCTGCTACAACTCTGTCATCCTGTTGACTGGTTTCTTATGTTTTCGACTACCGATTTTGTGTGTCCCATAAGAGTCGATGCAACAATCGGTCGATCTTACCGACGTGAACCGATTTAGTCGAAGGAAAAATCGGGAGGATTTTTTTATGGGGCGACGATCCAAATCATTGTTGTTAGACCCTTCGGACATGTTTCCCCTGATATTATTGTTAATTTCATTCATTTTACCGGCGCTTCTCATGCGGTTAACATTTCAGCAATAAACCAAAATTTCTGTAGTGGTCTGAAGATGAGCTGAAGAAGTTGATGGTAATCTATCATCCATAAAATTATTATCAAAATTATTTATCGCTGATCCATGTTCAGAATTTATTTCGTCATGCGAAGCGTCATGATTCTCGTAATTTCCTTCCTCTATGGAGCGTGTCAGTTTCGTTGAAAACACGAGTGCCTTTCCTTGATATAGAGAAGTTGTCAAGTCCTGGATAATGTCGGGTTCTGCCGGTTCATTGTCTTCCTCTAAGGGGTGCGTCAATTCCGTACAAAACACGAATTCCTGCATAAACACGCCTCACATAATGCAGTTGCAGCCATCCCGCTAGGCAAGTGCGCTGGAACGGTATGTGGGAATACATCGCACGCCGGGTAGGGGTTTAAGATTTCCCCTCGTTGGAATTTCATTGTGGGTCGATAGTTAACCGGCGGCGGCCTGAAAAACCGATCTTTCGCTGCCGCAAGAAGCTCTCGATCGGGTGGCAGTAGGTTGTTGTTGTTTCGATAATTGTTGTTGTTGTTGTTATTTTTGCTGGTGTTGTTGTTTTTGTTGTCGTTGTTATAGTTATTGTTTTGTTGTTTTTTTGTTGTTGTTATTATTTTTGTTGTTGTTGTTTTTGTTGTTGAGCAAGTTCTGCTTCTTTCGCCTTCTAGCCTTTTCAGCTTTTTCTGCTGTGTCAAACGGCATGATGATACTCGGGCATCGTACTGATCGTACTGCCTTCCATACCTTCCTGGTACCAAGTAGACGCCACTTTGAGTCATCGTTGTTGTTATTTAGTTCCACTTCCAAGCTGGGGCAAGAGTCAGATGGCGAAGGCAAAGGTGCAGCGCTCCGTGTTGAGGCTATATTTGATGACAGTGACTTCAGCTCGTCAAGAATATCAAGTTCCAGTACAGAGTTCGAACTCATTGTGCAAGTGCATCTATTTCGAGGGACAGCTGATTTAATTGACTTATCTCGTTATTAATATTTAGGAGCTTAGTAGATATACCCCGACACGAATGCGACACGATGATGGTAAAGTGTCGTTAATAAATAATAATAATAATCGAGGGGGGCGACACATCTAAATCTCAAGTTTAGATGCTCAACAAATCTCACACTAGCGAATCAATCTTCGAAAAATCTTCTTTCATTTGTCGCATCTACTTGCATCGCGCTCATATTTTTGCAGGAAATCTTCAGAATCGTCATCAATCTTCTTTCTATCTACTCAGCGTGCGCGCAGCTAGCCACAGCAAAACGCAATCTTTTCTGCATCGTAGATAGAGTCGTCCCCCTCGATAATAATAATTAGTAGATATGTCAGACGTCACAGTTCTCAATGACGTAGACACACTTTCCTTCGATGCCATTATAGCTGCATCAAAAAGTGACGTTTTGTTTTGGTTATGTTGATCGCGGCAAGTTCATTTTTTTTTATATTATAGTCACTTTAACACTCTTGGGTCATTCGTGACTTGTCCGGGGGTGAGATTTGTGATGGGAGAACCAGCAGAGTACACCACACGAAGCGGACAAAACACCAGCGAACGAATCGGAATGGATTTTACGGTGAAATAATAAACACTCGCGAGGAATCGAATTTACTTGTGTATTTGATCAGAAGAAACGTTTACAATGTGCGCAGTTAGAAAAACACTTTTGTTCGTATAAAGATGCACTAGGGTTGTGCATGTCAAAACAATGTTCGATCCGTAGATCAAGGGGTGTGCTCAAACGTGGAGTCATATCTGTAAAGGGCGCAACCATTGTTTCTCCACACTCCTCCTCAATGTAACGCGTCTATAAATTACTCCTTCACCCCGAGCAACTTACGAAAACGCACTAGCTTCAATGGCCCAAGAGGCTTTGTTAACGCATCCGCGGCCATCCACTCAGTTGGACAATACTCCAGTATTACCTGGTTGCTGGTGCACAGTTCTTCGACAAATCGCTCCCTTGTATCGATATGTTTCGATCTACGACTTGTTCTCTCCGTTGTCACGAACGAAATGCATCCTTGATTATCTTCTTTCAATACAGTAGGATACTGCTGCTCTTCGTCAAAGTCGCGAAGAAGCTCCCTAAGCCATAGTGCTTCTTGGCATGCTTCGCTGAGTGCCACATACTCGGCCTCCATGGAGGAGAGCGTGACACAAGATTGCCGCCGACTGGCCCATGAGATGGCTCCATCCCCGAACATGAAAACGAAACCCGATGTCGATCGCCTTGTTTCGATATCATCGGCCCAGTCTGAATCTGTGTAACCGGAAAGGACTGAATCGTCTCCTGCTTTCAAACAAAGGTAGTAGTCTCGTGACACCTTCAAATAGCGCAGTACACGCTTAGCTGCTGACCAGTCACGTTCGCTCGGCTTGGCAAACTTCCTTCCAAGGATCGCCGCACTGACAGCAAGGTCCGGTCGTACAGTAACAGCCAGATAAAGAATTCCTCCTACCAAACTGCGATACTTCGTTGCATCCGCTAGATCCTCGCTGTTATCCACGGTCTTCATGTACCCCGGGTCCATAGGGGAGTTCGCAGTCTTCGCTTGTTCCATACCAAACTTAGAGATAAGTTGGTCGATGTAGATTGGCAGCCGCAACTTGAAAACACTACCGTCTCGCTGCACCTCTACACCCAGGAAATGTCGTACTTCTCCCAGGCACGTTAGTTCAAATTCGTCCTTCAGGCAGCTGACGATTCTTTTCACCTCCGAATCATGCGTAGATGCCACTAACAGATCGTCGACATATACAAGAACAAAAATCTTCAAAGGACCTACCTTCTTGATGAACAAGCACTGGTCTGCTGTGGACGGTGTAAACCCAAGTTTCGCCAACACCTCCTTCAGCTTCTTATTCCAGCACCGCGCAGCCTGGCGCAGCCCATAGATGCTAAGCTTCAGGTGACATACCAGCTCCTCCTGGCCCGGTACTTCATAGCCCGGTGGCTGGCGCATGTAGAGTTCTTCGTCGAGTTCTCCGTTTAGGTACGCGTTTTTTACATCCACGTGCCAAACGGTCATCTTCTGCTTTGCAGCTACCGCAAGAAACGTACGGAAAGTTGCCTGATGCGTCACTGGAGCAAACACCTCATACTTTCCTCAGCAGCTCTTCGTCCCGCAGGTGCAGCACCAGCAGCTGGAATCTCTGCAGACGATCCATTCTCTGTAGATGCTCTTGACATGGTTCGCAGCATGGTAGAGTATACGAATTTATATCCACTACTTTTTTAGAGTCAAATGAACAAATTTCACAATTCACTGTACCAAAAAACGCAACAAAAACAAAATGTACGCAAAAAAAAGAAGCACGGGATGCACGTGCCTAGGAACGATTTAAAAACGCGTCCAAACTGATTAAAGAATGGAAGATGTTCCATTTAATCGAAATTTCAAAATAATGCTACATACATTTAATGAGCAAATCCACGCCAAATAGGAAAATTTCTAATTTTACCACTCAGAATTCCATAAAACATTGCTAGGGGCTCTAATTTTGGCCTATGGATCTAAGATTGGGCCCATCGCTAAAAAGATGCTATTTATCAATTTTATCTAGATGAACGCGTCATTGGGACTGTACTAATGGATATTTTTGGTCGCTATTGAAAATTTAGTCGATTACTAAATTTATGTATGGGGCCAAATTAGGGGCATTTAGGCCGACATTACATCCATTTCTCCTATTTGGTGTGAATTTGCTCATTTAATGTATGTAGCATTATTTTGAAATGTTGATTAAATGGAACATCAAAAATAATCTATTAGTCCTACGACAATAATGCGGTCATGTCTCATGTCTAGTGATCTGAGTTAGCGTACTTATCGGATTGAAAACTAGTTAGAACCAAATCGATTTCGGTTAGGCATCTTGGTGTCATTTGTGACAACGTCATACTTGACGCGGGTTTTTTTTAAGATCTATAAAATCACATAACCGAAAATTTCTAAGAGACTGATTTATTGCAGTCAGAAAAATATCAATATCACGGTATGCAATTCTTTTGAATCATCGAACAGCAACTCGCTCAATGTTAGTTTGGGAAAAATAAATATCACAAAAGTGGACTTACCCGAAAGAACTTCAGTGCTAGTCTCGACAACCACCGTACGGAAGCACACCCGATTATTTGATTCCTTCCACATGTCGACACGCAGCGTCTGGCCCGGCAATACTGGTTTCGAGAAACGAACCTTCGCTGCCTTAAACAGACTCGAATCATCGCCACCGTACTGTTTGAGAACAGCCTTTACGGAAATTCCCATCGTGCAGAGTCCATGTAAAATTGGAACTTTGTACCCAGCAATGGCGGAGAAGCTAGGATCGATATGCATTGGGTTGAGATCACCGGACAGTCGGTACAAAGCAGCCTGGTCCCGGCTAGTTTTGATCTGTACCGATGCGTCGGGCGATCGTTTCGGATTCGGGACCAGAGATTTTACCTCCGGACTCGCCTTAGATTTGCCATTGAAATTTCCCACACCGACCACGAAGGTGCTGCTCTGCCCACGAGCAACAAGCGCGCCGTTTGCGTCAAACGATTCGGATTGAGTGACGACCAAGGCTCCGGATTTCTTATCTAGTACATCGAGCACGGAGGTCGTTGTTGTTAAAACTCCTTCCGTTGGAACTGAATCGAATAATTCGATGTACTGTTCTCCATGAAGAATCTTAAATTGAAAATTAGAAAATGTTAGAGAAATACCGGAGGAGATTCAGGTACGTATCCTCACGTTTGTCAAATCAAAACTGGCGTGCGGAATAGCAGAGGCTGTTAGATTTGAGCCCATCACAGAAAGTAGACCCGGTAAAATGAAGAATGTTGGAAGTACGGAAAAGTCCGAGTGATTCTCGTACAGGAATCGCAGATCGTTTTCATCGGTAACGGTTGCTCCGACGCCCAATGCATATAGGATGACGTCTTTGTAATTGAATTTGAAGGTATCGGTTAGCGAATTTCCGGCCGACTTTCCTTCGCGCAACTTTTCCAGCACATCGACCAACGAAAGGCTGGCTTCTCCAATTGCGTTCAAGTGCGTCGCTTCGGACATATCGGTTACCTTGTCCCATACGCTGCGGACATACTCTGGGGTAACGTCCTCGTCGATTGATGTACGCAAAACGGTACCTTTTCCCCGTACAAAGTGCACTTTTGTGGCCCAACCGGCAGCGCTTTCGATTATAGCACCGTTATCCTCGCAGGATTCATGACATAGGTATGCAACCACCGGTGCAATTAGTTTTGGTTCTGCAAAACAAAATATTTGAATGATGAGGATGTGTTTAAAAGACAAACATTTTTTTTTATAACTTACTCAGTTCATTGAACAAGATCTCTGGCAAAATGCCTTCGGTCATCCTGGAAGCTGCCGTTGGAACAATAACGTTACATTGAATGTTGTTCTTCTGTCCTTCAATGGCGACCGTGTTTGCTAGTCCCACCAATCCTAGCTTAGCGGCACTGTAGTTAGCCTGTCCAAAATTGCCATACACCCCCGAATTGCTTGACGTCATAATGATTCGACCGTAATTCTGCTTCTTCATAATGGGCCATGCAGCACGAGTAGTTAAAAAACTGCCCTTCAGATGAACATTATGAATCAGATTCCAGTCATCATCGGAAATGCGAGCCATACTTCTGTCCCGCAGGATTCCGGCATTGTTGATCAGCACATCGATTCGTCCGAATGCTTCCATCGCCGTTTGAATGATCTTATCTCCATCGACAACGGAATTATAATCTGCCACAGCAGTTCCGCCCGCTGAGCGGATTTCCTCCACTACTTTATCAGCCGCATTCGATTTGCCTTGCCCGTGGAAATTACCGCCCAAGTCGTTCACAACAACCTTGGCGCCACGAGACGCAAACAGCAACGCATATTCACGACCCAATCCAGCTCCGGCACCGGTTACGACGACAACACGGTCATCGTAGCGCAGTTGATTGCTGTTGGCAGATACCATCCTTACGTTTGAATCTTACTTGACCTGTGGAGTGAATTACAATAGAGAAAATTTTATATTAGCTTGTTTGTTCCAGAACAATCTTATCTGCTTGCAACAGCAAAGTAATGATAGACGCTAATCAGCTCATCGAATACAGCAAAGTCATGCATACTGGCTCGTACAAGAGAGAAGTTCGTGAAACTCATTTGCAATTTCAAATTATTATGCAAAAAGTTTGACCTTTGACACCAACTATATTCGATAATGCCTTGTTCAGGCTAGAGTTATAACATGTTATAATAATTATCAAAAAGAAAACACGATAGGCTCATAACATATTATAACTGCTAAGTCTGGCCAGTGTTTAACACTTTCCACGAAAACTGAGTATTTATTGCATGCAAACAAAAATAACTTACCTGTGAGACGGAAAATTTATAAACCTAATACCAAACAACTGTTTACCAAGTAATTACGAGGTCGAGTAGCAAAACAAGATTGAACTTTGGAACCTTTTAAAACTGCCTACACAAGAACTGGATAGACGATAGATTTGTTGTGAACTGAACTGACTGAACTCCACTGATCCGGCGACGTTTGTGACGGAGTTTGAGTGGAATGAACAAAATGAACGCATCAGAAACTGAACAGCCCTGACAGGAAAATTCAAAACAAAAGGTTCAATAGCAAACGAATGTAAACTAAAGCCCTCTAGTTAAAGTATGGACGACTGTCACTGCAACCAAATCTAATCGAATTTTTCAAAATAGCGCTCTTACGAAAAATGCTTCGTTTCGATTTCTGCAATGAGGCTTCAGTTCTTTATGAAGGGAATATACGCATAACATATTTTATCTGACATCATCACACAAATTTGACCAGAAAAACCAAAAAAAATCCACCTGCAGATAGACGGATAGACCTTGAGCTACAGTCTTCCAACGCAAATAAGATGCTGCTCGCATAAACGTGAACCATAACTTGACCTTACCGAAAATCGTTAAAAATTGGTTATAATTTCTGCTAAACTTCAACTTAAATGGTTATGGAACTTTACATGAACGTTTGTGTGATCAAGTTTAAACCTTATGTATAATGGTTCTTTGAAAGTGAACCTTACAAATAATGGGTTGTTAAGAACCATTACCATTCAAAATATATGTTTTCTCCTAGGTTTTCTCCATAAATTGTCGGAGAGAGGACTATATTAGAACCTTTTTACTTAGATTTGAGAACTTTAATGGCAATGGTTATGGTAGCCAGTAAGGTCAATTAATGGTTTTGCATTATCGGTCAACTTTACATGGAATATATCGCGAATTAACCACTTTATTCGAGCACTTTTTTTTTTTTTATTAATTACTTTATTTGTACAGGCTCAATCGAATAAACTTTACAGAGCCGAATTATCATTTTCGTTATACATTATTGATGTCTTATATTATATATAAGTTAAAGGAGCTGGACCGGATACTCGCGGTTGTCTCGAGGTTAGTGGAGATTTACAATTTTTTTGGATGGGAAAAGGGAGAGGGAGGTTTGAAATGTGGTTTTCGATACAAATATTTAATTAATCCTAAAACATGAACTAATTTCTATTCATCTTGAAAACAAACATTAAAAAAAACTACACGCACAATACACAAACTAAACACAAGGTTAATAAAACTTACAATCTAAGGTTAGTATTCTTAAAGTAAACATATATGAGTTTCATAAATTCCAGATCACGTCTAGCCAAAATATCCCGAACTGGAACATTAGGTTGTCTACCTCGAGCCCGAAGGGAATCGCACAGCTGATTCGAGCACTTAAAATGACGTTTACTACACAGAAAAAAAAGTTGTTGAATATTACATCCAAACTGCTGCAACCAGGTCAATCCATCGGTTGTGTAATATAACGTTGTACGATGTACATCGTTTTTGCGAACAAAATTACATCCATTGATGTAATATTGTATCTGCTTTTTGCTATTACGTCATTATTTCATACGTCAGCTTGAATTACATTGATCGATATTACATTTTTTTTTGCTATGTACCACTCGAACATTGAAATAAAACATCATTTTGAGATTTTTTCTTCTAGAACCTCGAGAAAACTAGCCAACATTTGTGCGTTTCATAAAAAAATATAAATTATTTGGTCTAGTTTTGTGAAACCGCTGGTAGAAAGTCACGTCAAAACTGCTTGACAAAGTAGTCAATTGGTAATCAGTCATTTACAGGCAACCAATTCGCGATATATTCCTCATAAAGTTGATCGACTATCATGAACCTTACAAAACCATCTATGAACCTTACCGACGACCATAACCATTACAATTAAAGTTCTCAAATCATAAATAAAATGGTTGCAATATATGTAATTCCTTTCCCAAAAATGTATGGAGAAAACAAGAATTTTGAATGGTAATGGTTCTTAACAACCCATTATTTGTAAGCAATATGCCTGTTGGCCCGGACCTTATATAACCGTCATAGACGAGTGCACGGATGGATTTGAGTTCACTCACTCGACAAAAAGTGACACAACAGCGGGGCCCTGTTTACTAAAAATGAACACATATGTGTTCATTCGTCTATTAGGTTCTGCAGCGTGACGTCATAAATGAACTCAGTGTTAGCCGGCTGAACCTTTTTGACAGTTCAGTGGTACTGTTTACAAGCACTTAGTCGTTTTTTCGAAAAAAATATTCTTAAATTTCCGAATTTCAACTTGAAAATTGTCGAGGAACAGCGCGTAGAAAGGATGTTGCTCATGGACATGGCAGAAGTGTGGTTTACATCTCACTGCAGTCCGAAAAATTATCGAGAAAATCCACCCAAGAAAAAATCGACTAAGTCCACGTAAACAGTACCACTGAACTGTCATCAGATTGAGGTTAACCCCGACGGTGCAAAACCTAATTAGGTACTGCATCGTGACGTCATAAATGAACTCAGTGTTAATCGGCTGAACCTTTTTGACAGTTCAGTGGTACTGTTTACAAGCACTTAGTCGTTTTTTCGAAAAAAAAAATTCTAAAATTTCCGAATTTTAACTTGAAAATTGTCGAGGAACAGCGCATTGCAAGGATGTTGCTCGTGAACATAGCAGAAATGTGGTTTACATCTCACTGCAGTCTGAAAAATTATCGAGAAAATCCACCCAAGAAAAAATCGACTAAGTCCACGTAAACAGTACCACTAAACTGTCATCATATTGAGGTTAACCCCGATGGTGCAAAACCTAATTGGCATCATGCGTAATACCTTGTACAGACATCTCGACAGACATACAAAGTACACTGTTGTACCTATGGTACAACCATAGAGGTAACTCTAAGACTAGAAGGTCCCGAAATAACGTGCTCAACTTTTTGGCTCAGCTCTGGTACTATCTTCGGTCCCAAGCTAATCGATTCACCCCTCGAAACATAGGAAAACAGGGAAAAACCAATAACGCCTCATTTTATCTGTCAAACTTTCATTCGCGTTGACGGCACCGTCGAAAAATTTTCTCTTCTAGCAAATATAGACAGTTTCTTATGAGAATTTTCGGTGGAGTGAATGGATAGTACAAAGTTCGCCATGTTTCACGCACAGTCTGACGTTTGCTTATGGATTTTCTCATAGGAGTAAAGAGCTACCCTAATAAAAATTGTATGGTTAATTTGCTTAACGACGTGTTCTGGGTATCATCCAAACCATTTATGGAATAGTTCAATGATTTGGGTTATCGTTCGTTTATGGTTATTTTTTATTAGGGTACAGAGTCGCCGTCAACGCCAATAGCGAATCAAAACAAACATTGCGTAGTACTAGAATTTCGACTAGAATAGGGTACGTTAATCGTTTGCTCGGGACCAATAGGCTATACTAAAGTGGTGAGCCAATTTAAAATCGTTAGTTTCATATTGATTGTTGGTACTGCTTTGTATGTCTGTCAATGGTATAATGTCAGTAATGCTACCAGGGGTGTACGTACAACATGTCTAACATCATTGGTCATCAATGAACTCATTGATTCAATCTGACAGTCTAAAAATCAATCGTCTCTGATGATGACCACGAAAAACACATTTTTTGTGACTAAAGCAATATTATTGTAATAAAAATAGTGAATTTTATGTTAAGCCAAGCAGGTAAGAGTTATTAAACAGCACTACATTGTACTTTTACATATCTAGTTATTTGCGAATCCTTACTAAATGCTTTCAAACGTGTCAGCTCCATTTGTGTTTTCACTGACTTGCTGTTCCTTTATCACCGCTCAACATGATAGAGAATCTGTCCAAGAAGCGAATGGTATTTGGGATTAGTTGTTTGATATTGTAAGTACAGTAATTCCGCAAAAATACTTCCGGAAAAAACCTGGTTGAACTGCGACGTTCTATTTCAGGTTGACGATCGTGGTACTCATAATTGAGTCTAAATGGATGAAGGCAGGAACACGTCGACAAGAGTTTATCATTGAAAATAATTCCACCTGTTGGCAGCGGGAAACGTACGAGGTGATCAAAGATTGTCATCCGTGCACAGCGTTCGAAATCACCAGTAAATCTCAAGGGGTGTGCGTTCATACCCATAATAAGGAAGTCCTCAAGTGCACCAGCGGCGAGATCGTCACTCGAAGGCAGGATTCTGATTTTGGGAAAATTGCCTTTAAGTTATTGATAAATATGTTTTTCCATTTCAGTTGTGACCGGGTTGCCTGGCTAGACGAGAAACACTATTGGTCCTTCCAGATATCGCTCACGATAATAGGTTGCCTGTCGACGGCGGTATCGTTTCTTCGACAAAAATCACTAAACCGAAAGGCTATGCTCAAGATCCAAAATCAACTAGGAACCTGCTGAGACTTTCCAAATTCCTCGCCATAAAATTAGTTTTTCAAAATGATTCATCTTTATTTGGAGTATTATTCCAAACGCTGTATTCGAGAAACAACTTTGGTTGAAGTACCTATCGAAAGTTATGTAGTCTTTGTTCTGTGCAAATATTTGCGCCAACCTGCAATCGGCAAAGATCTTCTGGTTAATTTTGTCCAGAGCAAAACTGAACTTGAGCATCAATGCGATAGCATCTTGTTAAATTTGACTGTTTGTAACGTGGTTTTTTTCCAAGCAGGCGAATGGCCGCAAGTCGCAACATACTGCCAATTGCCAACCCTCAAGAACAATGCGTGGATCGTTTCCGGTCTCTGTGGAATCTGTAGACACATAACGAAGTTCCATATTGAATGTTCGACAAGTCCGAAGCGCATTCTAGGCTTCAAGGGCAACACTCTCTTGGCACCTGCCGAAGTATCCATGTGGACAAAGTTCTGCGAGGTGGACATTGAAGCGTGTGTCCGCGATGTGCTGCAACTTGGACATGACAACTCACTTGCTCTTCCGGAAGATCTCGGAAAGCTAGAGAGTCATCTTGGTCAGCCACTGAAGGTTCACAATATTTACAAATTGGTAAACAACGTTCAGAAAGTAAAAGTTTCCTCCAGCCAAGAGTACGAAAAGCTGAGTGATGAGACTGATCGGTTTGATTTCTATGCGAATCACAAATTCGCCGAAGGATACGAAAAAACCCTTGCCGATGTGATTCTCTTCATTTGTGTACATCTGATAGGTAAAAGAGCTCCATTGGAACGTTTCGGAAAGCAATTGCCAAGGATTACGGGCTGGTATGGACGCGTCGTGGCCGACGATGAAGGTGAGTTGCTTCGGATTTGCGAAAAGTTTCTCACAACGGATCAGATGCAATTAGAAGCATTGAAAGCAGAGCTAATAACAATAGACGTACCTGCTAGCTTTAGCCTCTACAAAGCGGACACAAAGAAGTTGAATCTGTTGGGTGAGAAAGTCCTCACCACGAATCAACCGGAAGTGTTGAGTATTTTGGAGAAGGTGAAACGCTTAGAGCTGGATGTGGAGAGCATGCCAAACGATCGAGATGCTAATCTGTTCGAATGGGACTCTGTTCCGTTGGATGCAAAACCTGAGGGTAAGTAGGTACCAGCCGTATCGATTCAGAAATTCAATTTCCCCCAATCACTTCGTTACCCTTACTGCTGTGTGCAATGATTCTACCACGGCGGATACACTTGTATGGCAAACATGATTGTGTTACATTACTTCGAATGTCACTTCCCCGAACAATGCTATCATCTCGAATACGAATTTCATTACCCGAATGTGAAAAAAATAAATAAAACAAGCTGGAATCAAATGAGGGTAGAATCCCATTGCTGGAAGTGGTCGATGATGGCGTTCGGGGAAGTGGCATTCCAAGTCGACGATTTAATAAAATTACTTAGTTTGGGATCCATTTTTTAAAGACAGAATGAGATTTTTTTTTGGATTCAAAACTTTGAATTTAATTTCAAAGTCCTAGAGCGTTGAAATCTGAAACACTCTAAGCTCAATCTTTTACTAAGGCCCTACACCTTTTCATCATGGTGTTCCGTTTCTTTATATTTAGCCGAGATTTAATTTTGCATTTTAACCTGCTTATTTTGTCGTTTTCTTCCTGCATGATAGGGGAAAAGTTGGCTTCGGCAATACCTTAACCTATTATCGTCAGGGGGGTAAACAACGTCCTTGAGAGCTTAATTTTGGCATGTGGATACATTGTGTTTCAGAGCAACTATTGGCCAAATTTGAGTGCTCTAGGACTTTGTTTACCCCCATGACGATAATAGGTTAAGGTATTGCCGAAGCCAACATTTCCCCTATGTATAGGTAGTTCTTTGAATTCAGTTCCTTGTGGTAAATGCTTCCTGTTTGGTTATTACGAAACATTTGCCGAAGTGACTTATTCATGGTTATTTTCTTTCACAGGTGGTAAACTTCCTACGAAACGCATCGACCGCAAAAAGCACCAGCTCGAATGTCTGGCCAACGAGGTGATTAACCTGGCTCAGCCCGGTGACACAATAGTCGACTTCTGTTCCGGCACCGGTCATCTGGGTATTTTGCTGGCCTTCCTGCTTCCCGAGTGCACAATCTATCTGCTCGAGAATAAGGAAGAGTCCCAACAGCTCGCAATGGACCGGGTGCAACGACTTGGATTGCAGAATGTCGTCTACTTCCGATGTAACCTGGACTACTTTAAGGCACGGTTCGATATAGGTGTTTCACTGCACGCGTGCGGAGTGGCTAGTGATATCGTGCTGGAGAAATGCTTAAACCAGAAAGCCAAGTTTGTGTGTTGCCCCTGCTGCTACGGAAAGCTCTACGAATTCGAACGTATACGTTACCCGAGGAGCCAGATTTTCCAACAGTCTGAGCTTCTACTGAAGGAATACCTGTGTTTGGCACATTGCGCCGATCAAACGCACGATTTGGACAACACTCGGACCAACGTTGCGAAATCGCATCAAGGATTCTACTGCATGGACATTATCGACAAGGATCGCATGCTACGAGCGGAAGAGCTTGGCTATACGGTGGTGCAGAAACGACTTAAACCCGAAAATTGCACGCCCAAGAATAGACTTTTGATAGGGACATTGTGAAATAGGAAATTATTGATCTTGTTTTGTAAAAGCTGATTATAAATAAAGTTTTAATCCTCTAGGTTTCAACAACGAAGCGATGCGTTTTGATGTGAGATAGTGAGGAAATCGGCTATCCTCTTTCCCTATTCCCGGCTGATTTACGTGCTGATGAGTGTTAAAGAAAAAGATAACAACCCTACCAATAATAAGAGCTTCTCAGTCCTCTCCGGCTTCGAGTATAGATCGAATGTTTTCGATCACATCCTCTGGGACGTCCAAAGGCTTCTCGCTTAGCTTGCCCGTCTCTGGATCTATCACATAGATTTCGTAGATAGTTTTGCCCGGATTGGTTGTATCTTGACTTTCCACCAACACCAGCGAATTGATGTCAATGTCTTCGAGCGGTCCCAGCCCGCGTGGTTCTTCGTCAGGTTCATCTCCCGCTTCTTCTGACGCTTCTGTTGATGGCTGCAGATCTTCGGAAGTTTCCGATTCCTGAACACCATTGGAGTCTTCCAATAAAGGCTCAATCGGTTCCTTTTCCGATTTCGGTTCCAATGGCGTAGGGGATGGGTTGGTTGTTGCGGAATTTGACTCTTCAGAAGTTATACCTTCTTTTACATCAGGTTTTACTAGAGGTGTTGAAGGAACTGGACTAGTTGCTGCAGTAGGTTCGGTAATGGAGTGCAGATCGTACACGAGAGGTGGTGATGGTATCGGTGTAGGAATCAGCATTTGTTGCGACGGATAGTACGACGTTTCCGTCTTCACTGGATGCGCAATTGGTGCATTCGCCGGCATCGGCAGGTACACGACATCACATCCTCCGTAGTACTTGGATTCGATGGAATCAATGCCAACGTCTTGATCACTGCCAGTCGATCTCTGATTACTGTTAACCATCGCTGCTGGTTCACGATAAGTTACTGTAGTTTGACTTTGATCGTCCATGTTCTGAAGAGTTATAACATTCTGTGTATCCATACTTCCGTTGGTATCACTCTCATAAATTTGGACAGGATAGGTCTTGGGTTCCGCTTTTATTTCGTACAAATTCCTTGACTCTTCATCGACTATGTCAATGTCCATAGCATTGATGTCCAATTGGGATTCACTGGAAATCGCTTCCACTGGACTTTCGTTCGAAGGAGGTGTACTATCCAAAGGACTCCTACTATGTTCCGTCGACTCTATGCTGCTGGGGGCATTGTCAAGCTGCTCAAAACCTCCATTCGGAATGTAAGGTACGCTATCGATTTGCGATACTCGAACTTCCCTGTTTGATTCGTCATTGGACCCTTCCACGGTGTCGTCGAATACGTCATCTTCGACATCCACAGATGGACAAGGCTCAGGAACGTCAGTCTTTGAAGTTTTTCGTTTGACAGAAGCCTCTGCTTCCTGTTGATGAGCATTTTTCTGTGCTACCTTCCGTTTTTTTCGTTTGGGTTTCACTTCTTTAACAAGCGGTTCCGTTTTACCAAGCCTGTCCATGTTCAGCATAACACGTTCTGACTTGCTTACCCGCTTTTTAGGGTTCCGACTTTTGCTTTGGTTCAACTGCATCCTAGGGAAGAAAAGAAAAAAAAAATATTCAGAAACTTGTAAGATTTCTCGAAAGGATTGATATTTACTTTTTCGCCATTTTCTGTTGCTTTAGTTTCTCATCTAGTTCTGCTTTTTCTTGTCGTTCCTGTTCCCGTATGCGTTCGATTTCTTCATCCTCTTCCTGGAACTGTTGCTGCAGTTCTTCGATGTTAAATTCTTTCGGGAAGAGAAGTGCTTTGTTCACCAATTTCAAATTGAGGCGCTCTTCTTTTTTGAACTGTGAAATAAGAAGAAATAAGTACAAGAAAAACGGAATTATTAATTATTTTTGTTATGGAATAAATTATTATTAAGGTCTTCAACTTGTTTTTATTTCCCTTGATTTATTTTCTGTCGATCTTGTTTTCCGTGCCCGGCACCAATGCTACCGAAGCCAGGGAGGCAGCTGCCACGCCTGGACCCAACCTATCGACCCATCAACTCGTGAACCGAGGACCAACGGCTTTACTTCCCCCCCGAAGGAAGGCGTGATCAGAAATGTTATGCCTCAGAACATCCCGGCGGCGCCGACTAGGATTGAACCCAACCTGCTGGGGTGAGAGGTAATCATGCTTAACCACCGGCGACGCTATTATTCAACTTGCTTCTACGAAATTTAAAATTTAATCTTTGTATACGATCTTAGGCGCAAACGTAAACAGTTTACATCACAAATCTTTTTTTTTAAGACTGTACATACGTATACATATATTATAGATGTTTTGGAGAATCAGAAACAATAGAATAGGGTATGATTTGCGATGGACTGTACTGTGAAAATTTAGTTATATTCTCTAACATTTAAAAGGTTCTTGTTTCTTCTACGTTCACGGCTACCACTTCTCAGTTCTCACGCTGCTGTTGATGTTGTGTACTGATGCGTTGACGGCGTTCCTGGTGTCTATACACAGTAAAAAAAATGTAATATCGATCAACGTTATTCAACCTGCTGTATATGAAATATTGATGTATTAGCAAAGGGTTTGGATACCCCTCACAATTGCGTTGACGGCACCGTTGAAAAATCGTCTCTTCTAACACACATTTAAGCTGGGTTTAGACTAGGCAAGTCAATTGATCAAGTCAGTTTAATTCAACGCGAATTGAAAGTGTAAACCATGCCATTCAACTGACTTGATCAACTCACTTGAATTGAAAAAAGTTGAACCAGGCTCAAACTTTTCAAGCCAATTGAATCAAAATTATAGTATCTTATGGGAATTTCCGGTGGAGTGAACTGCCGCTATTCGGATTATAGTCCCATGTCCTGTAGATTTCCTATCTACATGGGATTGTTATGTGAATAGCGGTAGTGAAGAGATAGTACAAAGGCCGCCATGTTTCACGTACAGTCTGACGTATGCGTACGGGATTTTTCGTAGGAGTAAAGAGCTACAGAGTCGCCGTCAACGCCAATCCCTTGCCAACGGGGGAGTTTGGTAAAAGAGATGATCAACCCGATTCGTACCTTCCTCATAATTGACCTTTGCTCGCTTTCTACTCTGTATATACAATGTTCACACTGCCGTACTCTATAACTCATCTCCTCATCTGGTTGTACATGTGAATGTTTTTGGTTAATGCCTAAGTAAATATGCAGGGAATTTATATCTATAATTTTAACCAGCTCGATTTTGTTTGCAAACCAGGTTTTGCTGTTTATATTTAATTATCTTGAAGATAACTCGTCCAGCTTAGCTTTCATGCTAAGAAATACTGGTTTTTGAGTCAAAAGTTATTATACGTCGTGTGGTCGAAAACTATTTTGATCGGAAGGTGATTACGTCAAAAAGCAATTCGACTGGTAAATAAATTTAAAAATGGGATGTGATCCTATATTCGGACAGTATATAGTGTAATAGCAGGAGCATCGATTGACACTGATAGCTCGACTTTGTTTACCTTTGTTACATTCGACGTAAAGAAAATTTGCTCTTGAAGTTTCGATTGTAAATTAAGTTAAAAGTAAAAGTTCTGTCATCCCGTTACGTGGGAAGATCACCTTTTCGTGATACGTTACGGGATGTATTTAAGATCTACCACCGATTCCTAGTCCTGACTGCTTCAAACTAGGAACAAACAGGATTTTTCAGTAATCAAAGAAACACATCTTAGTCCTTATTACTTTTTCTGCCTTGCTGATAGTGACAATACTCAGCTTTGTCCAATGAGGATGATCTTGGAATCAAGGAAAACATGAGTTAGTCTTCATCTATGTGATTCCTAATCTTCTATTCGTTGTTCTCTAGTTTGAAGTGGTTAAGATTAGAGTTTTGATGCATGGTCATTATCAATGTCATTCCTTAATTTTGTTGCTAAGGAATCCAATTTTGACTGACAAAGGGGCGCGCCTTTGGAGAGTGTTCCAACACTCCGAAGGATATAAAAAGTTATAAACGGGATATAGGTACTACAATAGATCAAATTTACTGGTCGCAGTGGATTTATGTCCCGAACAGATGAAAAAACATATGTACTATATAGAAGGTTACCATCTTCGGTAAAGTGGTGACGTGGATTGCAACTCTCTTGTGAGCCAAATCTACATCAATGCTCCTCAAAGAGTTCTACGTAGTTACACGCTTCTGTGGCAACCTACCCATCGGACCAACTATGGATTCAACGAACCGTGGACTTTGTGCTGTCGTGTGTTTAATGAAACGTTTGATGTATATGATTTTAACATTAGTAAGTCTACTTACAGACATAGAATTCGACACCTAGCCTAGAAAATATCTGTACAACATTATGTTGAAGATTTAATTAAATAAATAAAAAGTTGTTTAGATGGACAAGACCCCTCGCAAGACCCATTCTAAGCTAAAGAGTTCAGCTCAGAATTCACTCACCAGGCAGCGCTAGGGTGACATTCATTTTAAATTGTTTGCCATCAGATGGACTAGATAGAAGGTTTCCGTCTGCAGCAAAGTTGTTCAAATGGACAAGACCTATTTTGTTTAAAAGGTCGAAACAGAATTTACTCACCAAGTGGCGCTCGTGTGACATTCATATTGAATTGTTTGCAGTAACTTAACATCTTGATTAGATGGAAAACGCCGAAGACGGGGTAAAGCTGACCTATTCGATAGCAAACAGCTCAGAATTTACTCATCAGTTTGCACTGTTGCTTCCAGTGCTGCAAAATATCAATATCATTACCTACAAAATGCTGAATTTCACTAGCCACCTGATGTCAGTATCAATTCAAACAGTTAGAATAGCAATATCATTCGCTTTAATGTCAGTACGCAAATGACATCGACATCGTAAAGCGACCACTGATATTCAAAGATCTGCCGCAAATATTTCTTATATAAACCAGCTAATTGAGTACCGACCTTTATAAAACTCATCAGTAATATTTAAACAATACAACGGTTACACAAAAAGTTGATTTATTGAGCTGATAAAAGTAAGATTTTCATCTTTTCTTTATTTTCATATGATATTCATGTGATATTCATATAGCTAGTAATATCAAAGCCGTAACGCCTGATATCATACGTCCTACGAATATCAATGTCGAAAGTGAAATTCATTGCTAGATCAATATCTTACGTCAATTGACATTGTTGACAGCACGCAGCACTGGATGCTTCACGTTGTTTCGCGGTTTTTTTGGTTTCACTTGATAGCTTCCCTTGATAGAAGGTTTCTGCTGCTTTTTAAGATGATCTAAAACAATTTCAATAATCCTTATAGTTAAGAATTCACTTCTCAAGGATCGCTAGAGCATCACTTTGCTTTTATTGACTCCATTCAAATATATGTGGAAATTATTCAGGAAACAGCAAAATTCCAAACGATACAAAACTGTGTCACCCACGCAGCTGGATCTTGTTTTCTATTATATGTGAAAATGTAGCGTGGTCGAAAGAAAAAAAAACAGTTTAAAAATGTCATGACATTAATTCCACGCTACAGTTCAGATTGATTTTGTTTGTTGCAGGTACCGTTTAAAAATGTTAAATTTTCAACTGTACTTTAGCAAATCTGTACTGATACAAGCACTGGTTAGAGAAAACTATTACAAATTAATTTCATACTAGCGCCGCCTGGTGAGTGGATTCTGAGCTGAAGTCTTTACCATAAAATAGGTTTTGTCTTGTATGATTGTACTTATACTAATGCAAATATGATACAGGTTTATAAAGTTCTCAATTACCAACAATTACCAGAGGTACATCTAGAATAGTTGAGAGCCAGCGAAGTCCAAGCAGCGACGTTATAAAAAAACATAGTACCATCTGAACAAATTTGCCGATGACGGAAATCTTTTATTCAGCCCATATATTAAGTAAGCTATATAATATGTTTATGTCCAAATATGTGTATAGTAATAGAATAAGAGGTTTAGATTAAACGAGTTTTAGTTTTAAGTAATTAGTCTTCCCGAGTGAAAATATTCAGATAATCCAGAACAAACTAATTCTCAATGGGACTTGTAAGTCCCAAACTAAAATTATGGGAACTGCTTAGCAAGTTTTTGAGCTTTTCAAAATTTGAGATCAATATTTTACCACCTTCTTGAAGTGCTGGAATATGCAATTGAGGTTTTTTCAAAATTTTTATACGGATCAAGAGCTGATGATCGTCGTCTTATAATTGAATCGAATTTAACCTCGCATTTTGGTACTGAGGCAGCTCTCACTTCAATTATAGAATTTGTCAGAGATTCAAGAGCATAATATCATTTTTGGTTTGCAAAGGAATATTTTTATACCATAAATATTCGATATTGCTCCCAATCAACTCTATGGTAAATTAAGCTGTTGGGATTACACATGCGATATTTCAAAAGTTACTGGAAGGAGACCAGAACCGAAGTCCAATTGCTTACAAAGTTGACATGAATAAGTTAATACCAAATCGATAGTTGAGGGATTTCTTCCTGAAGAAAAGTATGTTGGCCTGTTTTGATAACGAATAGTGAAATAACCCGCAGAACAGTCATCAAATAATATATTGCCATTGGAATTGCTTTGAGCATGATTTCATAAGCGTTATTTTGCATTAAAATCACCAATAATGAAGAATTTAGACATATGACGGGTAAGTTCATGAAGGTTACCCTTTTCCTGTAAACGGAAGTTGTCCAAATTTTGATTCGACAGAAGCTCTCAAAGTTTCAAAAACTTTGGTTTCAAATGAAGAAAGAATTTGATGTTTGATACGCCTATGAACAATGATTAAAACGCCACCAACCTTATGGTAAGGTTTAAGGAACATTTTAGTTAT